ATGATGGACGTAGTCGATGTTTCAAAAACGTATTTTCTACAACCGAATCAATGCAACTGATACTTTCAAACGAATTTGTAGGCATCGTTTAGAATTTATTTACGAGACTGTTATAATGCTTTAATTGAATATTCGTTTTTATTTTTTTTTTTTTAGCAGTTTATTTTTTATTCGAACAATCGTTTTAATTGCTTGACACATTTGTTTTGTTTATTTAAAATTTGTCCTATGTATTTGTATATTGATTAGTATGCTGTGTCTTATGACAACCCGTTTGGTGAACAGCTAACTTTTAAACAAAAGTTGTTTTTCTCTAATATTGTTATACTATTATTAATATTTGTACTTTGTTGATGGCGGTAATATGTTTCAAAGAAAAAATATCGTCATTTAATAAATTATACGACCTGTTTTATAATAACAACTTACCGAGGAATTTAATAATATAATCATACCGTCAAAAGAGGCCGCACAACTTTATATTTTTTAATATTATTATTATTTTAAAGTTTAAACGTCATAAATAACAATCTACCCTATGACAAATTTTGTTTAGTTTCATTTTCGTTTTTCGATTAATTCTGTATAGGAAGTAAAAACTTTATAAATAATATAATGTCTGCAAACAGTAATAGGCAATAATATGTCTTTGGCGTTTTTAATATTGCGAAATAAAACGCGTATTTGTTAGCTATAAAAGTATAAGTAAGTACTTACCTAACCAATAATAATGGTACCTGTTATAACTTATGTTATCATTATATAAATAAACCGAATGCGTTTAGTAAAATATATAGTAAATTTGTGTAACGCAAACCGACCGCGTTTTGTAAAAATAAATTATAACAGCCATAACATGCAGTTTCGCCAAAATAAATAGGGGTACGGGGTGAGGTGGATACATCTCCCCTTTACCTCGTTTTTCTTAAATATTTATAATATTATATCCAGTGCCGGATTAAGAAATGTAGCGCCCTTGGGCTTTGTATAAAATGGCGCCCTTATTATATTTATCATTTTTGTTGTAAACCCGGAAGTTTTGCGGCCATATATTCTAAAAGAAGGACACACTTCACACGTCGGTGGGCTACTGTTTTGAGTGAGAATTTAGGAAGGTAGAGGGGAAATTTAATATATATCTGTACGCAACGATTAACCATTACTTACGAAAAAACGATTCTGAGCGAAGTGTTGCTTTGTCAACGATATATATATCATATTATGGTTAAGTAATTAAATATGCATTATATATTTTCTTTAAAAATATTTGTTTAATATTGTACCTATTTTCCCATATTTTTTCCGGTTTTTCTCATTTATTATGAAAACAGTAGGAAAAATCAAAAAATGGCATCCTTAATGTATCGCTCTAGTCAAATTTTTTTTAGAAAAAGTGCTGGCATTGTAAGTCTAGTATAGGTATTATTACCAAATTTACAGTATCTACGTAAATTTATAACCGAATTACAGCAAAAAAAAAAAAAAACATAAAAATTAAAATTCCTTAAAAGCTCAAAAGTGGCTCAAAAGTTTTGGCAATGATACCGCAAGAAATTAATTCAAAATGGAAACAAAAAATATAAATTATTATCTTTCAATTAAATTCATTTTTCTGGAAGAAAACGTCGTCCGATTTTTTATAAAACAATGAAATAATGTACATTTTACGTTTTCCTACGTTTTGTCCCACTTGTGTTTGTATTTAAAAAATGACGTCAAAAATAAAAAAAAAATACTTATTTAAAGTACAATTTAGACAACTTGAGCTTTCAGAAAATATGCTACCCTTATACATCGAATCAAGTTTACAAGGAAAAAACGTACCCACAAACTAGAACAAGGAACAAAGAAAAAAAAAAATAAACAGCATTGTAGAACCAATAGCTCCCTCGCTACACTCGGAATCTAAAGAGTGTTAAAAGATAGGGAGTAGGGTATGTGTGGGTATGGCCGGTATGGGTATGTGTTAGTATGGTAGTATGGTATGATGATGTTCGTATACATGACGTAAAACTCGAGCGTGCAGTGGTTATCTATCGATAAGATAGTGGCCACAATGCGTAATCGGCTGGATATGACCCTAAATAAACTCACAGTTGATAAATGGTTATGGTTTGTGTGGAAATGGCTTTATGTTCTTGTACGGTCGCATGGGTTTTATTGTGATATATGCGTGTGTACAAATTATTACGAATTATATTTATTGAAGGCTAGCCCTTACCTATAGTAGGAAGTTATTATTTGTCTTGTATTTATTCTAATTATTATCCTATTACGAGAATATGAAAACGTTCACTTACCTCGGGTATTCCACTTGGAGTTAGCTGCTCAAATTTAAGGGGTACAATATAAGGAAGTGTAGGTCTCGACGAATCGTTACAATATAAACAATAATTGGTTTATTTAAATCCTAAACAGACACCAATAGTCCCGGGCCTTTCTGACACTCCGTCACCGAAACCACGGTAGGTACTTATTTCGGCTATACTGAACCGTTGGGTAATAGATATGTGACAACTTGCACGATTACGGTCGTTATATAACGAATCGTTCACCGAAGTTGTGTAGCCGATTGTGCGAGCGCATGTGGAGAGGTAAGCGTGTCTGCACACAATAAGTACGGAGTGAACGTACGCCTTTTGAGTTAGTTGTAATTGTGTTTACTAATCGTCTTTACCAGCGATAGACGCGGATGTATTCAAGTATAACATTGAATTATTTGGTGATTCAGTGTGTTCGGCACCCTCACAATTGGACGTGTAGACAACTGTTTGTCACGATAGACGACCGTGGGCCGTCGTATGTCACAGCCTGTGCCCGAGCCAGTCGATAGCAACGTGTTGTGTATATTTGTACGTAAGGTGATGGTAAATAATGGACACGCCTAGATATATGTACGGTGAAAATAAAGAGACAGTTAATACGAATACCAGCGATAGGATATATGGGATAACTAAATACAAAAGTATCTGAAAAATGTTGTACAGGTTCGGAAGAGTGTAGGTAAGTCGGGATTGAGGTGAGAAAAACTGAGTGCCCGCCCAGAGAAGTGAGAAAAAAAGTGACGCGTTTGGTGTCTTTATGCTTTCTGTGGTCTCCCACGTCAACGATTTCTATTTGACCATCACAATAGGTTAAAGGTTAAAATGGGGTGCCTATATATAGGCGACGCACGTAATTAATATTGTGAATTCATGTGTGGTGGACTTAGGTGGCGACACTGTTTAAAAGATATTATTTGCGATGGAATTGGTAATTGTAACACGTCACGATTGATCATTTATTACAAATGTTAACTATTTAATGTATTACTCTACAGCAACGTTAAAGTAAAAATTGTACAAAGATTCTAAAATTTTGCGGTTCAGTCGGCAAATTTTAGTTTTAAAATTTGGTTTGGATATTTAATAATAAAAAAAACACAAAGATTTTATGGCCCGATATTCTTTTTGGATATTGGTTTTTAAGTAATCTAACGATCTTTAGAATAAAATTAAACACGGTGAAATATTATGTTCATTGCGAACAAAGGATCCGTCCACAGAAATTACGCAACAGTTAGAACGATCAATTCGAACGACATCGATTGGATATAATATTATAGCGAGTCTACTAAACGCGTGCATATAAGAAAAATTATGTCATTTACCTGTTTTCTCGAAGAAAAATTGTGGCAATGGAGTTATTGTATAGGAAATCTTATTCAGAAAGATCGACAAACCTTCTATTTACAAGGAAATTGTAGTATTCGTCTGTTTTTTTTGCCCTATGAAATTACGGTGATTTTTTTACATCGTCGTTTCCGTTACTTTCTGCTGATTTCGTTAAGTATCCGTTTTTGCTATTTTTATATTAAATCAACGCATAGGATAGAACTGTTTTATTTTATTTTTTTCTTATAAAAATTTTCTTCTCTATATTTATTTTTATTTTTCTTTTCTCGTCTCTTATTTTAAGGACTTTTTTTTTTTAAAATTTATAAATGCAAAATAAATATAATTCCGGTTTTTTTTTATTATTATTATTATTTTTTTAATAATATTTATAAAAGTTATTTAAGTACCTATTATGTTTTAGGACAAAAATCTCGCAATATATGTGACCTAACGACATAATATTATAAGTGTAAAAAACAAGTCCAATGTACTTCGCATCGTGGGTAGTCCACTGTAGTAAACGGGAATAATGAAATGTATGAATTATAATTTATAATTTTACGATTTATGGTCATTTAATTTTTACACGCTGATTAATGAAAGCAATGATAAAACATTACGATCAAATAATGAGCCATGTCTTTTAAATTGTACAGAGAAATTGTTTGGAATCTAGATATTTTGTTTTAAATAAATGTAAATAATTTGAAGTATTTTCACAAATCGACAACAATTTTTTTTAGAAATGGACCTAAGTTGTGAACTGTTGAAAATTTCAAAAAAATATTCAAGTAAAATATCACTGAGCCCAATATTCTACAACTGTTAAAGTATTGCGTGAATAAATCGTAGCATTTCGCTCATAAAAAAAAAAAAAAAATACTAATAATAATAATAAACATAAAACGCTTTTTTTTAGAAAAAATATTGAAAATTTTGAATCATTTTTCAAATAAATAATAGCATCTAACCAAAGTCGGCATTCATTAAAGTAGGGTGTGGACATTTTGGAGCATTTTTATGAAACTTCAGTAAAGTTATACCTAATAGTAAATGCTATTACTTTGCTATACACTAAGAATATGAAACATTTAACGTACCTTATCACCCTATTCATTTTGATTGAGAATACATTATTCGTTAATGGTGTTCCTTATTTATTATTTAATTCGTGGTTAACTGAGATTGGGGAATTAGGTCGGGAAAACAAAAAGCATAATTTAGATTATTATTTTTTTATTATTAAACTGCGTTTAACCGTTTATTCGTTTTACACACATACATACGTAATAACGCAGTCATATTATATTGTTATTTTTATAACAACTATATGTTTATATAATAGTACGGCATAAAACACGAAATTATAATAAGATACCGATTTAATTGTCGGATTATACTAAGACAACGGATGCGGGACGGCACGTGTAGTTTGTTGTAGGGTGGAGGTCGGCATATTATCCGCAAGTGTGTGCGACGTTGCTCCGTATGTACTTTCGTTTGCGGACTGCTGGTGTGTAGTAGTCGTTACGCGTAGATACGTTTTGAAACGACTAGATAGATAACCGACTCCACGAGTGAATATCATGTTCGACAGCTGTATGTACTAAAAGTGGTCGGTTTTATCGATTGAAACGTGAAATATTTGTTTATGTCACGAATTTTGTGCGAGAATATTATGAAAAATAATGTACGAAATTAATGGTAATTATCAACGTACATTAATAAAAATACACGGCGTAAACAAATATAATATATTTCACAGGTTAATCAATACAATTTGCCCTCTGAGTATATTACGACTGTTGAATTCATTAACCACTTATAGGACTGTATTTTTATTGTTCGGCACTCAGTTTAAATATCTAAAAAATAAGGCCAAAAACATACAGGTTTTTAAAATTCCATGCGATAGTTCAATTTTATATGAAATACTTATTCTTTCAAAAAAAAAATGACTTAGTACAGACTTTTGGAATCATATATTTTAAAATGTCAATTAAATATATCGTCATTTTTTTAACCTTATTTTTGGAGATGAACCCAATAATCAATTTTGATTTTAAAATAGCAAACTATGTTGTGAAACCCATTAATAGATGAAGTTTTTGTTTAAATACATTTTGGCACTGACATTATTGATTTCTAATGAATTTCTTAATGAACCCATTAACGAGTTATTTATTATTTAATTTTTGATTAAGATAAGGTAGTGAAGCATTATTCAAACGCCAAAGGTCACGAGCATGATAATCCACTACTCTCGCCTTACTGAAACTTAAAAGAAGAATATTTCGTCAACGGGTTGATGAGAATTAAACCTTTCAACCCAAAAATAAATTTAAACTAAAACTAATACATTTATGCAATATTTATATAGTTTGATATGTAAAAATCAAGCGGGTAGAGGTTTCACCCCAACTCTTCCCCCCCAAATAAGAAGAACAATGCAACATTTTTTAATAAATTATTCCACAAAATATTTACATAAGTTATTATTATTATTTTTTTGAATAAATAAGTATTTAATGGGAAATTTGACTGTAACATGAAATTCTGAAAATATATTATGCGTATTGGGCCTTATTAGTTGGAGATTTAAGTTCCGGGATATTTAACACTGGCAATTTTAACCTGGAAACATTTGTTTTTTTTTTTTTTTTTCGTATATGTAGGTAATATCTATAATATTTTAGTAGAGTATAATAACGATTTAATAAACAAAAATAAAAAGAAGAAGAAGCGTATAATAATCACGTAATAATATTATAATATAATATAGGTTCTGTGGTATAAATATTTATCGATTATTTTAGTTTTCATCAATCTCGTTGGAGGGCACGAACTGGAAATTTGTGTACCCGTACCCCTCGCACGATGCCTCCGATGATTTGCACGCGTGACACTTGCACGAGGTAGCCTCCGGAAACACGTACTCCTCCGTTCCCGGTTCGACTCCCTCATCGCAGTCTTTCAACACGTACTTGGACAGTTGCCGGCCGCCGTGTATGCACACTGGATGGTGTGAACGTTTGTACGGGAACCGCCAGTCAGACACCTGCGGCGACAAAAACATAAAAACGCGTCAAGTCGGATAAAACCGTTCAGTTATCACGGCGATGAGGTTGTTCGGAGATGTTCATATTTAATTTCGTGGCTTAATACAAACGTAGAAATATATTTCATCTATCACGCGCCTAACTATCGGTCTGTCGGCTAGCGATATAACCGCGACCGTGGTTAGCCCGTACGCCGTCCATCGTTTTTTCCGGTATACCTAAACGTTTACGCGATTACAACGAATTGCACACACCTGTGGCGGCAATAGCTACGGCCCGGGAGGGGTGGGTAGCGGGAGGGTAGATGGGGAGGGGGGTTGTTTTCCGCCATAACACCTATACTTAATAACAATAATATTATTTTTCAAATTCGGCGAGTAGGTGAGTACACACCGTCCTAACCGTGTTTGTAAGACGCGCCATCGCATAAATAACAATATCGTATTATTAAACATCGTTACGACAACGACGACGACGTGTCGACCCGTGGAAAACCCGTCAAAAGGAAAACAAATTACAGGGCTCATTACGGGGACGAGTATGCTGCGAAAATTTGTGCTCACCGGATCGCGTGTTTATTTGATTTATTTATTTAATTAATACGGACGTTTTGTTCAATAACATTATAATTTGTATGCGATAGCATTGTAATAATCCCAATATAAATAGCAGGGTATCAGTTGCTATCCGTCGCTACGCCGTAATGATCCCTATGTACATGAACAGCATACGTATTATTCTTTACTTAATAGAAAAAAATAAAAACACAATTGAAAATTGCGAGTACATACATGAATTTAAATTTTAAATATTATTTTTATAAAAAATATTATAATAATTGTCAGAGACAGAAATATGGATCATTAAACTGTATTTAAATTGAATACCAAATAAAATTGTTTATACGTTTTAAACACGTATTTCGCATGTTATATCCATAGTAATTAGTTTTTTATTACCATTCAAATATTGATTATAATAATAATTATTGTTATTGTTATGATCATTATGCGTGGAAATTATTATGGCAAATTTAATACGAGAAGATCAGGTAACGCGGCACAATGCAGTTTAGGAGATTTCAGTGTACCGTGGTTTTATTTGAAATTTTAGACTTGTAATAATACTAGGTGTACTATAGATGTACAGAGCGATTTTTTTTATCACGGTCCAGCAATTTCTTCGTAGGATTTTAAGCGAATTTGATTGCTGTTTTTTTTTTTTTTTTTTTAATCATTGTGGTAAATGACAATATGGTATTAGTTTAGTGCATACCAACATTTCTATATAAATATTTTTTGTTCAAATCTTAATCAAAAAGGGGGGGTTCCTATTTTTGAAAAAAAAAGTACAAATTTATTTAAAGTATATGGAGTACGGGAAACAAATGGTTTTAAAATAACACTTAACCGACAATACAATGATTAAAAAAAAATATAACTGAAAATCAAATTCATATAAAATCGCCCGAGAAAATTACTAGTTCATAATAAAAAAATCACATTGTATATTAAGAATTACAGACAGGAAACACCGTATTGAGTTTATTATAATTTTTATGTCACAGGGAACTAAAATTTGACATAATAAAAAACCTGAAACATAGGTACACTGGAGTACGTAAAATGCTACACTATATAATTATAATACATTTAAATATTATAAAAACATTGAATTGCATGCAAAATAAAACTAACGTTCTAGTTGTGTTTTTTGTTTGTTTTATGACTGACGAACTGGCGATGATTTTAGATGAATTTGCATATCAAAAAAAATAAATGAATAAACTGACATCAAATTCTCATGAAATCCTCCGAGAATACTAGCGTTGGTTCGTGATAATGGATAATAATTGTTTTGTGTAGTGCCCATGTAAAATATTTTAAGCGAAAAATTGTTAAAAATACTGCACTGTAAACAATAAGGAAAAATGTATAAATATCAAAACAAATTTAAAAATAAAATAAAAACAAACTGAGTTCATCATCGCAATTAATTTGTTTAATTCGTTAGTTAATTCATAGCGGTAAACATTATAACCTTAAATTTAATATAATTTACTGTAATGAAACAAAAATAAATATATTTAAAACTTAAATAATTTTTTTTAATCTACAAATGTGCGCAATTTTATCAAAATTCACAATATTATAGTGTACGATTATTAAAACGCCACCCATTTATATTGTTCAACAGATGACAACTTTTAAGAGCACATGACGATTTTTTGGTAACACTTACTGGAATATATGATAATTTATTATTATTGTACAGTTTTAAAAATATTAAATTGAATTTACTACTCAATAGACGGAGAGATTCGAAAGAATAGCGTATGCGTGTAGTTAACACCTTAATTGTTTAGTTTTTTATTTTTTAACATATTTCATCTCCATTTATCTTACAGGCAACATATTGTAGCTTTTTTTTTTTTAAAGTACAGTAACTTTGTAAATGATTTATATTTTAAAGAACACAAAAAGTTCGAATTTTGACGAACATCGTAAAAAATAAAAAATCATTGGCGTCTTGCTAACGACCGGAATTGTGCACAAACGATTGCCGTGGCAATGCCGAGCAATGTTCAAATTTAAATCTTAGGGGGTAGCCCGGAAATGGAGCCTATTTTTTAGTTTGTGTATTCAATTTTTTTAACTTTTTTTTAACTAAAAACACTCAAATGTTTGACACAAACAGTTAAATGTGATAATATAAACATATCAAAAAGAAGTTTTCCTTGGTTAGAAAGGACTAAGTAATCACGTACGAAAGCGGTTCAAGATTTTTTTTGAATAGAGCATAACCGCAAAAACACATTTAGTATTCCAGAAAATGTTCATATGAACTGTAATACAAGTTAATACCAATATTGAGTGCTTATATCCATTAAAATGGACTTCATAAAATGGTGCTTAGGTTCTTAGGGATTAAAAATTAAATTATAATGCGTGTACTTAAACATTTTATTTTTTGTTTGATTTTGTTATTATAATAGCACACTATAATATCATCTGTTATTACAAAACTAATATTTTCCATACTTTTATACGATAATAATATTATTCTCGTTAAGCTCTCCCGGGTCCGTGCAGGTTACGGCACTGCGCTCTCTCTATATATTTTTTTAAATGTATAAAACTTTTTTGTATTAAGTAGGTAAAAATTCATATTAAATATTTTCTTTCATATTAAACGAAGTGTTTAATTATAGGTATTAATGTTTCCGATCACCTGATCTTCTGCCCATCATGATGTTTCTATCATTTCACGTAATTTCCGTAAAATGTTCACCACGAAAACTATCGCAGAAATACGGAATTTACTGCGTAATAATATTATTATATTAACGATACTTGCAGATGTTTTACGTACAATAAGCATACACGAGTTCAACTTTTAAGTATAAGTCGCGATAAGTTTAATCAATCAACCGTAGCTATTGGACGTTTTTTCGTCGGAATATAATAACTTGTACGCGTTCTCATATAAAACTTGTTTCGCGTCATCGTAATATTTTGTTTATTAAGTGCAAAGATTCCCCCCCCCCCCCCTTTAAAATTGACGAGTCTTTCGATCCATTTTATCGCTTATTCGACTTGTTCGCTATTCAACGTAATATAATATTAAGCATATAAGTACCTATAATACCGCGCAACACGTTTCCGCTGTCAGACTGCAGATAATCGCAAGACCATTATATAAACATGGAATTGATAAATTATTGTACATTTTTATTATTATTATTTTGTTTTTTTTTTTGATACATTTTGGTTGTCACCAAAATCCAGTTTCTTTACGTGAAATTATAAAAAAAAAAAGTAGGAATACTTAATGATTTATGAACTTATAACGACTAATCGTATTCTCGAATGATATTGTTCGTATTTAAAATGTGTCAAATTTAACGAGTGTAATGTTTCTTTCTCAATATCACATTTTGTGTATTATTTTTTTCTTTTAGGAGTTCATAAATTATAACAACAATTTAAATGTTTTTTTTTTTTTAATTTGATATTATATAGTTCGATGTTTGTACATAATATTTTAATTGACTTACAAATTAAAATCCCATGGAAATTAATTTTGCAAAGTACAATTGATAAAACTGTTATAGCTTCACGCTAAGTTTTCGGGTAAAACCCACTCAAAATTGTTGTTTCGTCAAAAAATATAAATGTAATCAATTTGTATGATAATTTATTGTAAATTTCTACTAAGTCCGGCAACACTGGGGAACTTCAATGCAAAGGAAAATGTTTATTTATTTAGACGTTTTTGAACAATGAATTTTAAGTGCATACCTAATAGTTAGATTTGTACTGAATTACAGCCAACAGCTTTAAAAGTGAGGACAGTGAAAAATAACTTTTATTTTTGGTTTCTCGACTCATCTCCTACGATCGGTTAATTTTCTAAACAACAATATTGTGGTAAAATAAAATAAAAAAAAAACACTTTTGACCAACTATATTTTTATTATAGCGTTTTCCATTTGAATACTTTCGTGTACAGTTTAAGTAGTTATTGATAATCTCCACGAGTGTTCCAGCTATAATGTGAAGTGGAACATAATTATCGAATACTCGTAATGTATCGTGAACTTGATATTAGTTTAAAATTAAAGTAAATAGATACTGATCACATCCGAAATGCTTATCAAATATAATCTACACTAACAAAAAACTGTCACACTGTCGACAATTTCGTTTTTTATAAAATTATGTATATAAGATTACACTATGCCGTGATGTTGAATTTTGCGTTATACCGCATTTTTGATAACAGATGATGTAGTTGATAAAAAGTGTACACGAATGCAGTTAAATAGAAAACACTATTAGATACATTTTATTATCGTTTTTAGTAATAAGACTTGTTTGAACGATGAAGTTATTGTAGGCAGTTCGCTGCATATCTTGTTACTTAGTTGCAGTATCTCCAAACCGTTTTGCTGTACAGTATTTTATACTAATAGATAACCGACCAAAAATAGTAAACATAGTTTTTAATTGTTTACAGATTTCAGTAAACTAGTTTTTGAAAAGAGCATTCAGTTAACAAATAATTTACAGTAAAACATATAGTTAAAGATTTCCTACAATACATATTATATTTAAAAAAATCCGGTAGGTATAACATACCTCGTTCGAGTCACATCTTCCCCAGCACGACATAACTTCGATCTCATCAGAGCAACTGCGTCCAGTGGAATCGGTGTTAGTCACCTGAAACTTGTACAGTTTTCTGTTGCAGTCAAGCCCGTTGCGAAATTGAAATCCGGTAACGGAAAGTTGTTGTCCGGCAATCGAAAACCACACGATCACCGAAGTTACGGTACACAATACTGTCACGCAAACCATCATTAGTGCGCTGAAACGATAACGAAAAAAATTAAAAAAACGGATAAAAATAAAAGTTTTCAGTAATAGGTTCCGTTATGTTATCTGGAGGTATTATAATATCGAAAAAGGAACGGACGGTTTTTTTGTTATAGTTTTTTCTGTCCCTCTGTCTGTTTTTGTTTTGTTTTGTACTCTTTTCAGAGGATTTATTTCGATTGTTACTTTATGCCGTCTCAACTTTGTCCATTAAATTCTAGTTTAGGATAGGTAGTATAATATGTCTCGAAATAATTTGAAACGTTAACAAATATTTCAAAAATATAAACGGTTTTTAAAGTTTAATATTTATTGGATAAATTCTGTGTATCAAATACACACATATACTGGGCGATTCATTTAAGTGGGTACATTCATTATATCGGAAAGTATTAACTTTTTCCGGTATTTGTTTTCTAGAACATTTCTTTAACGAGCTGCACTATAATTGTATATCTATGTCATTTTTGTCACTCTTATTTTTGGGTGTAAAATCACTATCTACTTTTGATTTTCAAATGGCAACCTATATTAAAAATTTCATTAATAGATGGAGTATTAGTGAAAATAAATTTTAGTGTTGAAATGTTTGATTTTTATCAAGCCGTTTAGGAAATATTCTACTTTTAAGTTTAGGTTGAAGGAGAGTAGTGGAGTATCATTTGTATGGTGGTACGTCGCGCGGCGTGTTAATTATGCACCACTTCTCCGACCTAAATGTAAAAGTGGAATATCTCGTAAACGGCTTGACAGAGATCAAAAATTCAACACTCAATTTTATTTTAACTAATACTCCATCTATTTATGGAGTTTTTAATATAATCTGCCATTTAAAAATTAAAAGTAGTAGTTTACCCCCAAAAATAAGGGTTGACCAATAATAACATAGATATAAAATTGTAAAGCAGTTCGTTTATTAAATGTTCTAGAAAACCAATTCCGGAAAAAATTTAATACTTTCCGAGATAATGAGTGTACCCACTTAAATTAATCACCTGGTAGATAGTTATATCATTTTTTACTTGTTTTGTAAAATAATGTATAATTTTTGAATTTAATAATTCACAAATGGTTGATTGGCTCTTGACGAGGTAAATTTACTGTCTGCCCAGCAAGTAAATGAGGTTAGGGCTCATATTATATGACCTGATGCTGTTTCCATACGTTAACCTCGATTGCTTAAATCGTAGTGAAACGAAATATGTAATATTTAATGTTTTTCTTTTTCATCTAAATTGATTTATAGTAGAATTAAAAACTTTATGAGAGGGTTATAGTAGAGAGAGGTAGTACGTCAGTTTGGAACTTAAAATCTTTGGTTATAAAAATAGACCTCAATTTTCAGGTGTCACAATACAATATTTTAAAATTAACACGATAAATTATTTGTCCATAAAACGATCTTTGTTTTCAATAACTCGGTAGTTAAGCTTTATGGTTTATTGGTTAGTCGTTAGGTTTTCTAGGCCAGATTAAATTAGGATCTATCGTTTGTGTCTCTTAGGTTCTGAACGCCGTATTTCTAAACGTCCCAGGACCTTCCTGGAAGGGTTAAAGTGAGAAGGGAACGGCTAAACAAAATATTTTTTTAAAAACTCTATATTAACGTAATGAATAAATTTATGTGAAATAAAGCAATTTTGAAATTCTTGACTTCGTGGTTTTCTTGAAAGTTGGACGTGTTTAGTGAGTTCTCGAGAACGTCTCTCAATTTTCGGTGAAAAAATAGTCCATTATCCGTGGGAAATTATTTTCAGTTTAATCACTAACCATACTATATGAATAGCCAAGCTTTGGTCAGTCATTTTTCTACAAAAGTGATGATTTATTATTTAACAAAAAAATTATATAGAACACACTATACATATATGATGACATGCCGAAATAAGCGAAGGGAAACGAATGCCTTACATAGAGTTTTTGCAGTATATATTATAAAACCGTCCAGTGACTTCCTCTTTTATTTATTTTTTCGAGTTTTAGTTTTAGCCAATAACGATTTGTAGCACGAAAAACTCGCACAACAATTTCCCGGATACATCAATCGTCTAAAAATGTCACTATAGATATCGTTTTTCCGGCGGGAAAGATTTATTTTTTGTTCACTTTCTATTAGATGTATTTATAAAAGAACTGATCTCTTATAAAGTGTACACTGTACCGCAATAACTGTTATATTACGCACCACTTAAGTAAATGATTACACCGAAATGCTCCTGTGGTGTGCAGAGGTAACCGCGACTTGGTAAGCGATTCATTTTTATTTTTTTTTTTTTTTACTGTCACTCGAAACGGTACAATTAATGACGCTTTTATAAATTATTATTAATAAGCTCTTATACATTTTTTTCGGCAACGTATAAACAATTTTAACTTATCTAAATATTAATTTGTTATCTTTTATCAAGATGCTTATTCTTATTAGATATATGATGGTTACTTAAATTAAAACAAATATTACCTCTGTATTATTTAATTGCCTCGATGAAAATAAACCGTAACAAAATAAAAACATTATCTCAGGATAGTAAAATGTCTTAAATGGTCGATGTGTAAGTTTTAATTTTAGTTGACAATTTCGAAGTTACTATAGCTAGGTAGTGATTTACACCTTGCATTTGCAGAATTACTTTAATTGTTCACTCCTTTTTTTTTTATTCTTAAGGTATTCTACTTATTTATTTCCCAGTTATAATTATCTCAAAAACAAATAAATTTAAAAAAAGATTTTTTTTTATCCAGATAAATTCCACTCATCTGTTATTTTACATGAGATACTTAATTTGAATATTTTTTTATTTTTTTATCTGTATGTGGATACATTTTACTTGACATAATAATATGGTGGTATAAATACAAGTAAAGTAATAGTAGGATATTAACTACTAGACATATTGAAAAAAAACCTCCGATTTTGAGTGATGAAATGCAGGATGTTATGATAACTGTAAAATCAGTGGTTTTCAAAAAATTAGAATATTATCAACTACATAATCAATAAAACCAATAATAATAATACGATTTTTATAAAAATGTGTATGAGCAACTATATTATTTTAAAAGTTATGTATAGTGAATTTTGTAGAATACCTAGTTTATTGTACATTATATATTTTATTTATTATACAAAATCGTTAATACTGAAAAAAAAAAATAGTTTTTGAAAATTTTCAATATTTGGATTTATAATATCCGAGAAAAAAATATAAAGATATCAAATATATTTTAAACATTTCCACATCTATTTTTGCAGTAAATTTTTAACGTGAACATATTGAGTTGCATTGATTATCAAAATAAAGTAGACATTTCATTTATGGACATGGTATAAAACTTAAGGATTGACAATGCTTGTACACAATTGCAAAATAATCATAAAAGTTTACTGGATATGTATTTATATATAAACTACCGTTTCATGTGGTTTCAAAATAATGACTCTAAAATATACAAAAATTTAACGTGTAATACCTACTTGATGATGTATATTTATTTATATATTTATTGGATAATTGCAGTTGAATAGGTACTACTTAATGTTGAAATGTAATGAACGACACAGTAACATAATGCAATTTATAATCTAATATTTGTTTTTGTTTTTTAACAAAATTTTCACGTGAAAAATTGACGTGATACCATTTTTTACAATTTTTTAAATAATATAATTTTGTTATAATATCTGAACGAATTATTTTCTACAACACTTTGTACAAATTCATTATTAGCGTTTCATGTCTATCCAGTGTCAATATTCTTATTGCGGAAATTGAATAAATCATAAGTAGCAGTAAAATACCTATATAAATATATATATATATTAACATCGTAATTATTTCATCGGACAAAACATCTTTTATGCGGAGTTTTCATATTATATACATTGCAATAATCGGAAAAGTTTTCGTTTTCGAAGTTTTCAATAATAATCACAATGACTATCGTAATAACAAAATAGTTATATCGTTATCTTTCATAAGAGTTTTGTTGCCGATTTCATTTTAGAGAGTTGCAATTATTATATCGTTTTTAACATTTTATTCGGTATACTTTAGTTTTTTTTAATTATTTTATGCACTATAGTCTATTTGTATGTATAAATATGTACCTAGTATATATTCTATATAGGTATGCAATTATAATACTACTACTACTACTACTACTACTACTACTACTACTACTACTACTAATAATAATAATAATAATAATAATAATAATAATAAAAAAAATAAAAAAAATGATCATAGGCTTATGTAACGAAAAATAACCTCCGAATACCATTTCTAAATTATTTATGAATCATAATAACCATTCTAAAATGAAACATATCTGTTATATTTATGCACCGTTGGAATATTTTAATATGTAATATATTAACACACATTAATAAGTTTATGTAGGAAGATCTTGTTAAGAGTAGTTCACCTATCAGCTAAGGACTGTAAATCTAATCTATTAGACACTACTTCATACTCATGAGGTCTATGTTCTAATCTTTATAAATATGCAGCGAAACCCAAAATCTTACGTTGGACTCTTTCAAGTTAGTTGATATCCTTAGCAGGATCCCATATAATAAAAACAAATTCTAAAATAGATCTTACAAGCGCACAATATAATGCTTTTAGCAGAGTTATCAACTTAAATTTGTTGTAAACCAACTTAAGAAATCCAAGAACTTTTAAAGCTGTACAGCATGATACATCTATATGGGAACGAAAATTTAGATCACTGTCATAGACAATTCCAAAATCTTTTACCGCATTACCTTCGATTGTAAAATGAGAGTCGTGTAGCATATATTTAAATTCCATGTCAGTACGACTTCTAAAGAATAATAGAATAATAGAAGAGTGCATAATAGTGTTGTAAGATTCTAAAATAATCTTAATGTCCCTTTATAGACTTGTTTGCAAAATACCTGTCGCACAATGAGTTTTTACACTTTAAAGCACTGGCCAACTTAGATGAACATGACTGCATACGAGATTTGGATTTTTGATTACGAAACGTTATGTATCGAGCGAGGAACGAAAGTATTTTTTCTTCGTTCGGTACTACCGCCGTATCAACGGATGATTTTAAAACTAGTTATTATCTTCCAAAATGTAAACACTATAAGTATTGTAAGTACTGTCAAAAGTTTCCGCTAGGACAACGTCAAAATATATTTAAAGGGAAATATTCTGTACGCCCCGTCCAGCCAATGATAATTTCATGGAAAAACCTCACACGCCTTCCAACTTTGTGTTCAGGTTTGTATATCTTAGCTCACGATTTAAAGTATCTACTGCAATTTTTTTTTTCATAAATACCATTCTAAGGAATTAGAATCGTCTCTATTTGTATTTAAACTAGTTTGTTTTTAAGGGAGGGGAGAGGGCAGAAGCTTTCTCTGCTTACCTATAAATTCTCCCCTGATCTACTTTTAATGAAAATATATTTTTTGTGTTTCATGGCATTATCAAACGATTGTGATTCGAATAATTTCAGTTTCAATGGCATAAGTACGCGTAGCACTTAAAATGTCGTACTATTTGTTGCGGTTATGCATTATAATAATTCAATTATTTTTTTGACTCTCGAAGGACTCACACAATATTATATTATATTATTATAATATCTTGGAGTGCATCATTGTATTAAACAAAATATATTTAATAATCATAATTTTACTACATTAGTTTATCGGTTAAGGACTTAATGTATGTATAATAATTTCAAACAGTTTGAAGTACAGATTTAATTACATAGTATCGTACAAAATATTATTATTATTATTATTATTATTATTTTTTTTTTTCAATAACTTTTAATTGGCGACCTACAAAATACATTATTTGTTGTATTCAATATGAATGTTAAAGGTACATAAACATTGTGAAATAACAATAATAAAAATAACAAAAACCGATACGAATCCAAATCTATATTCAAATCGGTACTAATAAATTATCGTCGAACAATATAGTATCATCAGTGGCCCTAAAAAAAAAAAAAAATGAAACGCTGTCGTTATATGAACGCATATTAAAATACGACTTCTGTTTTCGCATTTACTTATTAAATTACCGCGAATTGGAAATTTATCTTATGGCATAATATCGTGACATTGACGAATCGATAATTTAATAACAACAACGTTCTTAATTCAGTTACAAACCGTCAAATTGGTATTTACCGCCTCTGTCTTTTTAACGTGTGATATATCAGAAAAAATTGTTTTCGTAAAGCATATTATGAAAAATCCTTTATAAAACTGTTTTAGAGAGAAATTAGTTCCAACACTGTTTATGCAAATGTGTCGTATAGATTCGTTGTTTTGTAGACCGGGCCACAGAAATATTTGGTTAGGTTTTCAGAAGGGTAATTTATTCAATCAAAAGTGATTTTAGATGTGAAATTAGGATAGAGATTTGTATTCTTCTTTGAGTTATATCTGAAGGTGGACAACTGTAGTTAAGTCAAAATCCTTAGAAGTTTTACGTTTTTAAATATTAGCGGTGAAGGTTTTCCACGGAAATGAATTGTTTTTCCGAGACGAAAAGTAGCCTATACCAATTCCTAGTTCTCCAAATGTTCCTTTATTAAAAAATCACGTTGATTGATCTCTACAATGTGACATGAAAAAAGTACAAACAAATAAACACACTTTCGCATTTATAATATAAATATAAATTAGTATATATTTGTTAAAATAACGGAGCCAGGCCCCTTAAGGCTTATTGACGCAACAATCCATTGATTCCACACTTCTCTATAATTTTCAGCTTCATCATTTTCTTCTTAGACTCTATCCGTCTACCTTTGCCTTGACCATTCTCCAAAGCATCTTAATGATCTATAGATTGAGATAATTACCCTTATTTGTCCAATTAGTTCTTCTGATCTCCACGTATGCCCCGCCCAACTCGTTCCTTAAGGTTCTAAATAAATTACTGGCTTCGTCATACTTACGGTTTCTAATTCGTTGTGTTTTCATATTTTTAATCATATTTCGGCACTCTGTTTTACATATAAATATATACAACAATAAAAATGATAGCCGTGTACTTTGAATACCTTATAATTCGTGTTAAAACAAACGAGTTTTTATCGTGACGGATACGGAATTCGTGATAACGACAACTCTTCGGAGAGGGTTGAATTAAAGTTTTTCGGTTTTCTGCGCATTCCTTTTTCCGAGATATGATATTGTTATTATTACGTCGTACAAAATAAGACGAGGAACAGGGTAAAGCACGCGCCGTCGCGTATTTACGATATATAGTAAAAGTTGAGAAAAGTACTCAAGAGGAGAAAAAAAAAAGAAACGCTGTCGACCGCAGGCAAATGACGGTTTTCTCACGTCACGGTGGCGGTTGTTTGCGTTTTCGCGGTCGACACGGTGCTCTATATATATATATATACGTATATGGATTTGGAAATGCCATTCAGTATATTATTATTAGTATATACCCATTAGCGACTATCCGTTTTTCGGTTCGATAATAACAGATCGCGAGGGTTTTCTCAGTTGGTAACACCAAAGCTCAAAGTCAAATGATATAATATTAACGGCCGGTGCGGCTTTTGGACGGGTAAAACGATAAGGGATACGTAGAGCTTACGACGTGCGTGTTGCTGGTGGGCGTTGTATACGGATCGTCGCCAATACAATAATATTATGATGACGACGAAGACGTGGCCGCGAAAGATTAATATCCGGTCGCGTGGGCGTCGTTTTCTGTATAATGTGAATATACGGTTCATCTTCACCCTCCACTCACTGGTCTTTATTTTTTTTTTTTTTTTATATGAAAACCGGCGCCAAGGAAACCGCAGGCCATCGGGCGCCTAAAAATAATAATCCTGTAATACTAGCAATAATTTGTTTATACATACTAGCTGTCCCACCCGGTGTTGACCGTGCCAAACACATGTATAATAAAACCGTTTTTTCCCAGTATTCCCTGTTTCATTCCCCGTCACTATCTTTGCAGTTAACCGATGTTGCCCTTAAGCTTTTAAAAATACATATTCTTTCATTCTATTTTCAAACTTGTATTAATCATAAAATAATAAAGTAAAAACAAAATTATTACAATGGTTAATACTCGTGAGTAAATAAATTATTTAGTGGCGTTTTACATTTTCACTGTGATATACCCGATAATGAATTTTCAATTCGAAACCGGTCGTATTATCACTATTGATTCATTTAATTATGCTATTTTTATATATACATTTTTTATTTTTATATTTATTTATTTTATGTGAATCAGTTAAGTGGTTGCTAAGCAATGAAAAATAATTATAAATTATAATTCTGTACCAGCCCAAATAATAGCAGGCTATTATCCGGGGCCTGGGTCCAGGCCACCGCGCCGCCGACCGACTCGCCGAGAAAAACTCACCGTTGTACCGACTACGAACTTGCTGTTATATTCATTTTCGCCGCGAGACCATTTGTTTCGTTTAAATCCTAACGCCATAACTCGGTTGTTTTTTCCAAGACACGCGAATGAGATCTTCACTAGTATATAATATAGGTCTGTTAGGGTCACTCAATATTAAAAGTACTCTCCATTCTGATGTTTGATAGGATAGTGGATTTAGTGCTGAACAATTTGGCTTGGCACCCCAAACAAGTCCTAAGTCATAGTTTGTGACCACGAAATCCCTCCCAAAAGAACTAGCCTGGAATTCGTTCGATCACTGTCAGACTTTGAAAATGGTCCATGGAGAACCTCTAGTCCACCCTCACCAAATTTAATATCAATGAGAAGGAATCGGAAAAGGGGTGCTAGGAGGTGACATGTCACCTCCTAGAAAGTTATATTGTCATTTTTTTTAGTTATAATAATAATTAATTAATTTTTTTTAATGGTAATGACAAGAAGTACTACAGGATAACATAGGTTAAATGAATTGTGTTTGCTCAGTGTTCATAGACAAAAAACTCATCACAACACCAAGTTTGTTAACAAATGTATTTTGCTAAAACGAAATTTACGGTTTTCGTTTTAAAATATTATTTTTGTTCACAAATAAAATTTATTTTTATTCGTCATTTAATAAAAGCAATTTTGTTGATTCTTAGTTGTTAAGTTTTTTTTATTTTATGATTGTCACCCCCTTAGGTTTTGACAGTCGGGCGTCCTTGTACACGTATATGATACATATATGATGAGCTTTCCATTTGCAATTTGTCGTTTCGTCGTGGATGGTTTCGTGTAGATCTAATCAAACATTTATAGTAGGTAATATAATATTGTATCGTACATAGAACCGTCGATGGTGTATACACGTATTATAAACAAGATTACAAAACAGTTTTTTTTTTTTGTTTTTTTACATATTTTTTTATATGGTTATTATATTATAATAATAAAAGTGAATTAGGTATAAATAGAGTTTTCTCATAACCAATTAGGATGACAAAAAAAATTGAAAAAAGACATCCATAGTAATAGGAACTGTTCAAATATTCACATGATTAATTGGAACTGTATAAATATCTAAACTATCCAGAACATAGTAGTTATTTTAATTTAATTTTTTAACGTTAAAAGCGTTATAAATATTTACGTATAAAAGTTTCAAACCTAAAGACTAAATAAAAGCGTTTTAAACAAGTGTTTAAAACACTTTGTAACCCTTGTTATAATAATATACTATGTATGTACATATATCATATCACACAGAAATCGATGAATGAGGAAAAAAATTGGCGATAGTTATATATGTGTATAATTTATTGAAATTATCTTGGGTGACCAGTGACCAACAGTGACCATATTCGGCATTTCAAAAACGAACTAGTTGCCTTCCAACTATTTTCCACCTATTCTGTTATGAAATTAATTAATTAATAAAGGACTAAAATTGTATGAGGATAATTTCATTCGTCATTTTCAAGGAACTTTAGCAGTGCAAATCCGATTATTTTCATTATTTTATTAATAGTTTCTTGAAGAAGTTTAAGCAAATGCATAAGTATTATCATGAATAGTGTACACGAAAAACAAAAAAAATACAAATCACACATACAAAACCAAACAAAACAACTCCAATTCCATATAAATAAAAGTATAAAAATATTAGATATTGTAAACTCCGTAAGTCATTAGTGCCATAAAAATAATTTATAAATTAAACATATAAATATCATATAATTTCATTGATTTTACAAAATTGTATTATTTCATTATAATATAAGCAGTTTATTCGTTCTCATTAGGTATTTAGTACTAAAAATACTTTCAGTAATAATACGTTACTATAGTCATTTTCACGTGCCGTCACATATTACCTCCTTACTAAAGTAAGCCAGGTTTAATTTAAGCCAGGTGTGAATTCTGTCCTCGTAAGAAAACCGCCAAAGTCCATAAAAATTGAAAAATGTATAAAATAAATGGAAAATGCAGTCTTTATAGGTAACCTTTTAGTTTATTGCGTCATACGCCAGGAATATCAAAAAGACTATTGACAATATTTGTGCAGTCAAAACGCCACTCGCCGTAAATAGTCGTAAAATGACTTGCGGGAAGTTAATTTTCTATTATTAGACTTTAGACTGTGGACCAAATATAAAATTTATTTTAATTAAATTATTTTGACAATGGCCAATTACCAATAATTTTATGTCATTCATTAACTAATATTATAAGACCCTAAACAATGAATAAGTAACAATTTTTGATATCGAGATTCTTGCTCATATGAATCAAGTATCTAAAGTCTTTCCAATGTAAAATGTGAGATAACTATATCATACATTTTTTTATCCGTATTTGTTATTTTATTCGAGTGCATTTATCAGGTAAAATTATATATACAACCTTTTATTGTACTTTAAGAAGAAAAATGTACGAGGTGTTATGCATTTTAGAAAATGAAATATTTAAAAACACGTTTTTCACAAAAAAAATTAAAACAAGTTTTTCAGTGATTTAAAGCGCTTTTACTTATAGGATCAGTATTTTGGTCATGTTTATAATAAACATGTTGGAGGCAATCGGTGTATTATGCTCTAGATAGTTTTGAGAGGAATTCGTATAAAAAAAAATATTTATTAATTTTAATGAAAATTGGTAAATGTCCGTAATATAGCTAGGTCCTTAGATAATAAAAACATAAATGGGACATAACGTTATAAATATAATCAGTGAAGAATGAAGTTAGGCCGATTATTTACCATATGATAAGTAGTGATTTGATAACTGGTAAATTGTAATATGATAAAATTAACAATTGAATAATAATAATAATAATAATGGGATAGTAATAATAAATTAATATAGTTAAATATTACAATTATTAATACCAATCAACGAATGACAGAATTATGGCAAAATAGATTTATCGCGGACAAAATAATGTAGTTTGATGTAATACTAGTATTTAGTATACGGTAACATTATCGATAATAGTGGTTACTGGTTGGAATGTTAAATTATAAACAAACGGCTTCACTTCTTATCAGTTCAAGACCGCGAAATTATTATGAACTAAATAGTTGATGTCTCATCCGTGTTATTGTTATCTATGGCTTTAATATGAAAACATAAATCAAAAGTTCTAATTTTGTGCTAAATGTTATTATTATCTATTAAAATATACATTACGTTAGAGCATTTTAGAGTAATGGCGATACCTATTGCAATGGTTTTAAATAAGTCTCAATACAGTCTTGCATAAACAATATACTTTATAGATTTATTCCAAGTCGTTATTTTTAATTTTATAAAATTAAGAATTAAGACACGTATTTTTTTTATTCAAGCATAGTGAAAACGATTTTATTATTAATTTTTTTTAATGTTTCGGGCGACGATTCGGATACTATTTTCCAGTAGAGAAAAATACTGAGATTCCTCCACTGTTAAAATTCCATCGCGGATTTAATACTTGTCACGCAAATTAGATAATATACAGTTATGTTCGTTGTTGTGAATAATCATATTTTTATTACTGCAATTCTCTGGAGTCGGTGATGTAACCGAGTAAAAGTGAATTCGCATGCGTGCATTCGTTGGGTTTATATAATAACATTATAAAATAATGTACACTTAATTGAGGTTTAAAATATCTCCAATCGTAAAAAATAGCAAGATTTCATCACGGGGGAACATGAAAATGAATAATATGAGTCACGATGGATTTATACATAAACCAAACAGCGAAAAAACTCGGAAGAGTGCTATGCGATATTACAATGTGATATAACGTGGCTTACTTCAAATAGCGATTCACTAAATATAGGCACAAATAGCTCAAACATTTTTTCGGTGGTAGGGGGCTAACCCCCTCACAATAAATATATATATATATATATATTTATAAAAAAAATACATTCAACAACGGCTGGATTTTAATATTGTTTTCACGGTTTTCACTCCTCCTTTAAAAAAAATCTTCACTAGTAAAGACACCTACCATACATTCCTTTTCCAAAAATATTTTCTTTGTGATATAAATTTTTTTCTATCGATATCTACTAATTCAATAATTTACCTTTTTATTTTCCATTGCGCATAGAGTATATAAAATCTTACTCTGCTAAATACCCAATAATGTTTGTACAGTGTGCCCATTTGGACACACTCTAACTCTAAAAAAAAAAAAAAACGACTGTCCGCTGTGTAGCTTATTTGAGAGTGAAAACAGTGCAGTGCGGGAGGCTTGAACCTAACCGATACGGTACAGTGATGGTAAAAGTCAAAACGGTATAAAAGACGGCCATAAATTTGTACGACGTACGTCGAACTCGTATNAAAAAAAAAAAAAAAAAACGACTGCCAACTGTGTAGCTTATTTGGGAGTCAAAACAGTGCAGTGTGGGAGGTTTGAACCTAACCAATACGGTACAGTGATGGTAAAAGTCAAAACGGTATAAAAGACGGCCATAAATTTGTACGACGTACGTCGAACATAATGGACCGTACGCGTACGCGTATTTATCATATAATAATATCATTGCACAGTCGGCCGAAAACTGTAGTCGTTCCATTAATATTTCGCGATTTTTTTTTTTTCTTATAAAATATAATATACAAATGCGGTTTAATCGACTCGCCGTGGGGCTATTCGTCGGTTTCCGGACGTCCACGAGTCCGAATATCCAAAGTGAAATACGAACCTACGATGACGTCCGATTTATTATATTGTATAGGTACCTATCACCCGCCATATTATTTACAATTTTTACGAATCAAATTTTAAAACTCTTTTTCGTGACTCGGCTTTCCGTATAAATCTGTATAATATATGCAATAATATGTATTTATAATCCATATTTTATACCGACAAAATAATTTACAATGGGAAATATGATTATAAATATTATATTTTATCTCGGCCGTGCCAATCTAATACCCCCTCTCTTTGATCTGGTCATTTAAAAGTAGAATAAAAAAAAAAAAAAATAAATACACTTTCCCAATCATAAAATTGTATGGTTCTTTGGAATAGCATATTAATGTAACAATAAATTTAACACATTCATTTATTTATTTATAATAACAGATTTGCGATACAAAAAATATTAAGAACAAAATAAGGAAAGGTTAGAATTGGCAGTAGACATAAGGCGGATAATTGGTTTATTGAGTTCGTAATTAGTAAAAGGGGAAAGAAGTGAAAAATATTTAGATGAACGGGTAATATGAGAAGGAATATAAAAATTAAGATTAGAATATAAGAACGGGCAATCAATTTCGTTTGAGAGAAGTTTTTACAGGAAGTTAATATTGGCAGAAAGTCTGCGGTCAACTTAACTTACTAAATTAAGTTTTTGGAGATCGGGGTCATAGATATGTGGAGGGTAATAAATTTTGAGCAGGAAGGCTGCATGCTTAAGAAATTTACGCTGTACTCGTTCTAATTTCCTGCAGGTGACCGTTGTATGGGGATCCCAGAAAACAGAGGAATATTCAATAATTGGTCGAATGAGGGCACGATAAAGGGCTTAAAAATAAGCGCATAATTTAAATTTGGAGAAAATACGCTTCAAGAAACCCAATATTTTCAGAACTTTACAACATGCTTTATCGGTAGATTAGTACTTAGTGAAGGACATAAAACAAAACCGAGATCACGAATTTCATTGGAAGCTTTGGGTAAATTAGAGCCTTAGATATCATAGCTAAAGTTGATTGATAGGTTTTAGACAACGCGTAGAGGTCATAGTTACACACTTGGAAATACTCAACTGAAGGTCCAAAATATTAGACCAGATGACCATATTTTCAAGAGTGGATTGTAGTTTACAATACAATACAATGTTTAAAATTATTAATTCATAATAATGATTATATTATGTAATTATAATTTTAACAGAGTTATAATTTTATTTTAGACAAGTACTATAAAAATTATTATTAAAAAAGGTTCTAATTTATTTTGAGATGAATAATTTCTCAATCGATTGAAAATATATATATTATTATATATTTAAGTAACGATAAAACATTTATAAAGAAAAGAAATTCTGAGCGAAGTACGTTTATATATGTTTTTAAATGGCGTAATATATACGACTTTCATCAAAATTTTTGATTACAAAAAAAAAATACATTGCGTTCAATTTTCTTTTACGACTAAGTACAATTATCATTGAACATCGCGTTAAATTTCCATACATTTCATTTTGGTCAAACAATTTTATCGACATTCCGAATAAAAAAAAACCAATGTAAAAAAAAACTTTGAAATATTTTAAAAATTTGACCACTTCTAGAAAAATTTGATCAATTATTATGAAAACTGCAACGAAAAAAAAAAAACTTTCTTACTCTTTTGTCTGGTCATACAAACAATGAGAACACGTCTTGTCTTAAAACCGATGCGTATACTTCCCTATACTACGCTCAGAATCGAAAAAAAAATTATTAAAACGGCTAACAACTCCGGAGAATAAGGAATTCCGTTTTTTTTTTAAATTTGTTTATTGATGGCTATGCGTTATAGATACATTATTATTATTATTATTTTATTATTTTTGTTATTCTCAAAACCTTTATTGTTCATTTATACTGTCTATCCCGTCGTACCCCGAAATTAGATTATTGAAATGTACACTATTCGAAATCGGAAACTGTACAGAATAGAAACTCTACACTAATAAAAATCTCCGTCCACAAATGTCAAGGCATAAAAATTCCGAGGTCACATAACCTGCATTATATTACATTTTTGATCTATTCAGAAATTATATTATTAAATTCCGTATACCTAGCTACAATATTATTATCACTTTATGCATTCTACTTGCCCAACTTCTATTCTACTTGTACTCTATTTGTATCACTTATTTTCTGTAATTTTTTTTAATTGATTCCGGCGATGTACAATTTTTCACCCAGGAATAATCAAATAATCAAATATTTTTATTCCCGTGGACTTAAGGCCTAACAGTCAGTCGTTCGACTATTTAATAAATATTAAACGTTATAACGTCAAGATAGAAATAATAAAATATTATGTGTATCCGCGAGTTTTATATAATAATAATAATATATTATATGTTTCATTCTCATTACTCCATCATCCCACATAAAAAGTAGTCGGTGCCATTCGCGTTGCTATTAAAAAAAAAAAAAAAACAAATTCTTTTAACAGTATATTTAATATGGACATTGTGAAAAATACGAAAATCAATAAACTATAGCGATATACTATAGTAATATATATTTGTTTTCTATTTATTTATTCTTAACGATTCATATTTTCTCACTGAACGCGTTCTCTGACGGTTTTCTATTGTAACATTAATATATATATATTATGTTGTTAATAGTTAATAAAATAAAAAATAAATGATAATATCGCTCACAATAGCTCATTAAAAGTGCATATCAAATCATTACATACTTATGCGTCGCGTTGTTAATACAATTTTAAGAACGAAGAAAAAATAGAAAGCGCGGAATAGTGAACGGTTTTAATTTTATGTTGGTATACGTTATATTATAAGGAAGTTACTACATATTTAAAAGACAATTTTGAATTGAAGCATTTAGTTTTTGAGGTACCTTAGTGCTGGTATCCTGTGCGAAATGCATACCCCACACAGCAAATTGTTGCAGCATTGTTGAGCTGATGCAGATTATTAATATTCATTCGTTCTATTGGAGAAACGAAGTCACGAACCCGATTCATGTATTCATTAATGTTTCAAAATATTTTGGAAAATACAGTCGACTAACTTGGTATCATCGATATACAAATAAAATATAATGCATATATATATATAATTTGTTATTTGCGATTATTGTTTAATGTTTATCGAATGCAAACCTACTCGTTGGACGAATGTAACCAATTGGTATAACATAGGTATGTCACCGGGCTAAAAGTTTAATTATAGTTTTAATTGACAAACTGCTTGCCCGTTATTGCAATGTTGTAGCTATACGTCTCCATCAACATTTTCGAAACGAAATAATATCATACTTTTATTATTAATCGTATTTCAATGGTTATGCACCAGTTAAATCAAGTGTGCTGTAAGCGAAATATTTATACGTCTATGGGAATTGTGAATAATTTCGAATGTGCACGAAACGGACGTTTTTTTAAAAAGACGTTACAATATTATAGTATTATATCGATGTTATTTTAAATGCACATTAAAATAGCCAGACGGGTTGATAATTCGAATCTTGGGTAAGTCATAAATGTAGTAAAGTTGACAAGGTGAAAAATAGCAAAACAAATGTATAAAAAAAAAAAAAATAAAGCTTTATCGAAATTAAAATTTTAAAATATGAGAATATAAGATGTTTGGTGTAATACAATTCATATCTGTATGCTTTTCAGAAAAGGTGCTTCAATTTAAAATCGGAAAATTGGTTAAAAAGTTGTTTACAGAAATCGAAAAGAAAAACACATATCATATTAAAACCAATAGAAGTAAATTCCTCGCTACACTCAAAGCACGTGCTAAAGAGTTATTTTCCAAATCTGGTGTGTTTCATTATTAAACGAAAGCAAGTGAAAAGCAAAACTCACATTTTCCGAAAATCGCATTTTTAAAATAACAAAAAGCGGAAAAGTATTGACTGTACAATGGAAAAATCTAAATTGCATTTTTCTAAGGAAATTTAGATTATGAAATATCCAAAACTACCATCAAAAGTTAGTAATTTATAGTCGCTTTCTAGATTTTTATTTGCTGTAGAAATTGAAGTTTCAAATACGTGAGTTTCGACCCTAAGATCCGTTTTTTAATAAATTTTGTTACGATTGATTTTCTTTCTTTTTTTCTTTCTTCGAACTGTAGCACTTTAAAAATCTAGTAGACGAATTGGAAAATCCTAATCTTTTTACGGTTGGAATGAATTCAGTGGGGAATTTAAGGGGTAAAAGTAGAGGCGTCCGTCAACCAATTGGCCTAGCACTTCGGTTAATAAACCTCGAAGGCTTTGAATGACGAAGTATTTTGAATAATCGAAAACAAGGAATCGTGCGGACATAAAAGACATACATATTTGTCAAAACAATACGATAAAATGAAAGTATATATTCAAATTTGTATAAATAACATACTAAATTTTTACAGGAGAGAGAGAAACGTTCTTTATGAAAATAGAACGCTGTACGCGTTATAGTAAAAAAACACCGAACATTTCAATAATATCACGTACATTTTAGGTAAGTGAGTGAGGTGAGGGATGGTATTTATAGGGTCGTCCGATCATATTCGTCGTCATCCTGATCATATTCCTGAGTGATAGTGTGAAACTGACGGGCAATTAGGGGTCGATTTCTCCGGGATTAATATTATCGCCGTCGTGAACGAGCCGTTCACGACGGCTCTTTTTGGGAAAAGGGTGCATCTACCTAAGTTGTTAAATTCAAAAGCGACATTGTAATTTAACGAATCTTGTGGCTTAACACCGCTTAGGTACCGATAGGACGGTTGACGAGGACTATAGTGGTGATGGGGTTCAGCCATTTGAATATTATTTTGAAACAACAGTCAAAACCCACCATGTTTCTCAACCGGTGTCATATTTACATCGCAGCAATGCATATCGATCTGTATTGATTTGTATTATAGGTATAGGTTATCAAAAATTTAAGGTTGTTTTGTTGGTAGGTAATTAGTATTTAGTAGCGCGATGAAAACAGTTAAAAAAAAATTTGAAATCCAAAACACCCGCTCAAAATGCACTTGAAATATACTGATTAAATGAATTACAAAATTTAATAAAAAATACATCAAAATAGAGTGAAATAATGTTTCGAAATTCTGAAAAATTTACGTGATTATAATATTATTGTTATGCAATAATCTAAAAAAAAAAAAAAAAATTCTATAAATACAAAGCTTATAAATGTTCCAAATTTACCTTTATTGTACAATATCGACCGTTTTAGTGTTTTTCACTTTTCAAGTATATTGCCATTTATTATTTGAGTTAGGGCGTCGTAGTGCAGGAAAAAAAGTTTATTGTTAACCACGGGTCAAAAGGGTGGTTTATTCGCTATAAAAAAAAAATCACCCTTTGGCGTATTATCGTTTAATTTGTTTTTTAATCCAGACAACAAATATCAAAATTGTCGATATATGTATTAATCGATAGTAATTGTTACCTACGTCATAATATTTTATTATGTTTCGTTGGATGAATTGTGACACACCTATAATTTTTTAATTTTATTTATGTCAATATGCCACTATGCAAACAATATGCTGTACCTAATAATTTTAATAATAATAAAATCAAACACAAAAAACAATGCAATATTACTATAATTTGATTATGGTAAAAAAAAAAACTCCCAATAAATTGTTTCCGTGACACGTCGTCGCCGTATTGTATTATAATATTATCTAAATTTGACAAATAACGACATTATAATAATCGTTGCGATATTGTTTTGCGTCTATTTTTGAATGCGGTTTACATAAAATATTACCTACTTTTGTGCAACCACAAGTATTCGTGTAGTTTTTGGTATATTGATAATTGTTTAATGGTACAAAAGGAAATGACGGTACCGTAAACCTCTTAAGCTTAACCCCTTTACATCTAAGCCAAAGTCCTACATAATTAACGTCCTCTATTCTCGAGGAGACTCCTCTCTAAGACTCTCTAAGATTCTCTAAGACTCCAACAATGGTGTATTTTTCGATCTATTATATTTATCATACCAGTTGCGTCCAAAAACCGCGCAAATATGATTTCAACTCCAAAAAAAGCCGATAGACAAAAACCGTATACTATCGGTTGCCAGATAGGTATATTATTTAGCCAATTAACGCACTTATAGTGGGTAAAAACCGCACGTTTATGTCTTATAGACATAATATGCGTAGATATATATATGCGTATACAGACGCACGTTGTATTTATGATTTTAAAATAATCTGTTACGCATACAAATGCTTATATTTTATTATAAGTTAATATGCTCGAACCATTATTCGTATTAAATTTTGATTAAAATACGTCAACATTTTCAAACAAAACATCTGATTGACAATAATTCATATTAAAACATGTAAGTGCTTATTAGAAAAACCAAAGTTGATATTGTTATAGGATACTCCTTAAATTTTGAAAAGAATCTAAGTATTCAAAAATAGATTCTTTGAATATATTTAAAAATTCTAAAAAACAAAATTTGAATTAATGTATAATTTAACCATGAAAACTGTGTGAGCACTGAGTATGCTTAAAACACCTCTCTGTATATTATTATAAATATTTAAGAAAAATAACTGAATAGAAAGGTTACGTCCCTATTATCTACCCTATTTGACCACCCTTGATCATACATATCCTCTGCAAGCGTTTCCTGGGATGGGTATTTTAGCCAGCTCCTTTTTATCCTCATTAAAAAACAAAAAACGACTGTCATCTTCAGTCAAAGACTTCTTATTTGCCACCAAAATATACGCATATTCTTCAAGATAAATGTTCTACCCGATTACCGGTTTCCGCCTTGAATCTGACCTTGACTCTTTTTTCAGCTGATGGGTTTACTATGCCACTCTTAATTTTTGTATAATGTGAAAAATGAAAAAAAAATATGTACATTTTTCTTTTACAAACATTATGATAATTGCACAAGGGGAAAACAATTACGCAACAATAAAATTATCAAGTACAAGTTTTTGTAAAAAAATGAATTAATTATTTGGGTCCTGTAATTTTAGATTCTGATTGGCATGAAGAATATTATGGTTTTACAAAGATGTATTTTTTATTTGTTATTAACTTTCTACCTGAAAACTTACTCGGATTTCCAAGTGTAGCGCCTTTTTTCTTTCTTGTTGTATACTAATATATTTTATTTTATATCGTGTTAATCGCATAATAACAATAATAATAATAATAAATGTTTATGTATTTTTTCAAAACATAATTGATGATGTGATAATAGGTTCTTCTTCGTAGTTGTGTAAACGCTCTAAAAAATAAACGCAAGGAAAAAGTTTGTTTGTACAGTAGTTATTTGAATTTTGGTGCGGTATAGGCATTCAGGTGCAGTTTGTTTGATGTATGGAATTTCACAGACAAACGGAAATTCAAATAATAATATGTAAAGTGGCGTTTTATTTTATATATTCATATATTTTTCTGCATGAGAAATTGATAAAAACATGTATTTATTATGGGCAAGTGCTCGGCAAAATATTCAACAACAAATATTTTTCTCAGATATTTTGTGAAAACAAAGAAACATGATGGATAAAATAAATCCTAGACCACCGTGATCGATAATTCCTGTAGCCTCGGTGTTGTGTAAAAAACAAGGCAAATTATCACATTAAAAATTACCATTTCGCAGTATCTACAATAATTAAAAACCATAACGCCGCTATACTATGATAGCCACTATATAAATTTCATATAATATCCCACTTATCTTGAATGTCGACATATTCACAAGGTAAATTACACTTTTTTCGTATAGTAGTTACCTATATGGAAAAACATCATAGATGCGTGTATTATCTCTTATGTACAACGGTTATGGACGTGGATAGAATCAATACGCGGGTGCCTACCTATATAACATTTAGAAAAATTGAAAATTAGCATAATAGCGGGCATTTGTAATACTGTCTAAACAAAACAAAATGGAATTTACAAAATACCTATGTGTTAAAAAATATCTACGTTTCAAATTTTATTTTCTGTTTGGTTCGTTTATGCCGCCGACATCTTATCTTGACCCAATCAAAAAAATGTTAAGAGACGATTGTTGATTTTCGGAATAATGCGGCATTTGTCATAATGCGATCGTTTAAATAAAATATCACTTTTACGAGGCCATATACGTAATACAATAGACATTTTATTTGAATATAAACAAAAATATCCTACACAACTTATAATTCTTCATATCTCTAACTTTTGATTTCGTACATTTTGTTAACCATTAACGAGAGCTCACGTACACAGATCTCGGAGCCTTTTAATGTTAAGCGAATTTGTTTAGCTATCCGAAAGCTGTCGATTTTCAGCCGAAAGCTGCCGATTTTCAATCGAGAGTGAGAAACACACGGTTTAGAAAAAACAGTTCGGTATTTTAGGCTTTTATTGATGTCCATCAGTGGCGCCGTCGATTAACATTGTTCGCCAATGAAGAGTTCAACTTGCAATAATTGTGAGACATCAAACTCCGTGTACTCGATTTTCATTTTTCTGGTGAATAAAAATTACACTATCGTCGTAGGTGCTACGTGATGTATATTTCACCACGATTTCGTATGTATCGCTAATTTGACTTTTTGTCAAAACCGACATGCTATAGCAGAATTATTTAATCTCGAGCGAAACCTAATATTTTGCTTTTTGAACGTGAATAGAATAATAAAGATTATGTATACACATTGAAATAACATTCCGATGAAAATGACATGTGCGGGATCTAAACTCACAGTGAACAATATACAAAAACGTTTTGAACGAATACTTATAATTTATTTTCAACAATGTTTTTAATACTACGGTGATTCAACAAATTGTATTCGCGTTCGGATCGTACAGGGTTTCGGGTAATAATATCCATGACCACATAATACATTGTACCAGTTTGTTTCAGGCTGTACATGGCGGTTAAACATAACAATTTGAGCGTTAAATCGATATTTATTTTTTTTATAAATTAAGTTAGAACAGCGAAAAAAACACCAAGAATAATGAAATTTATTCTGTAATGATATATTATTAATACAATTTGCAATTATTTGATATTATCGATAAATGTTTAACTGAACTACATTGAGCTTTTCGTTTTTCTTTTGCAATAATTTAACGTTGCATACAGCATAATATCATCATAAATTAAATTACCCTATATTATACGACCGACTCTTTTTTTTTCTTTTTTTTACGATGATTGCACATTTATCCGACTGTTGTAGTATACGTATACCTACGTGGAAATTCACATGGTTACCCGGCATTCTATAAACGTATAATGCCATATAATAATAATAATAATTGATGTTATTAGCTTGTAGACTCACAATATTACAATATATAGGTATTAGATATTTACTTAATAATCATAGCATTGAAATATAATAATTTAATTCGATTGTGTAGTAAAGGTACTTGTTCGATTTTTATGAATAAGCGCGTATAATAACAATATTAGTATGTTTTCCCGACGTAATATGGGGCAAAAAAAAAAAAAAAATACCCCGGTGATCGTCTTAAATTATAATATTTTATATCACACGTATGACGTGCTATAACTACAACTATTTTGCAGTAATTCAACTGTTTTTTTCTCTTCAAAATAAAATATCGCAAGGTAATGAATTATAATGACGACGGATCGATGGCCTTGACGAGTAAAACTGAAGTATTCGTGTTCCTAACTTGTTTACCGTGATATAGTAGTATTTCCTAGGGGAGTGCTTAGGTACCCGGAGTCTAAATATCTGAAAGTAGAAACTAACTAAAATTTCAAAATTTGAAATCCGTAAAAATCTACACCGGAAAAAAATTGGACTGCGATAATATAGACCCGACAAACCTATGAAGTAAAAAATTCAACCATAGAATTTTGGAATACGATTTTTTACTGTCTTAATTTGAAAATCGTGGTTTTCAAATTCCAAATCTATAGCCGCCTATTTCGAAGCACTACCTATTGTAGCGCTTTTAAAAACATAAATTTACCATTTTCTGTGATGTATTCGATCTAAACGTTGACTATCATTTACAAAAAAACAATAAGAACTAGAATTGTTGGGGGAAAATTGAGTAGTTTCAGACAATAGATATAGCTGTGTTAAACTGGGAGAAATTACTCAGAAGTGCTTGGGAGACGTCAGGCGGGATATTTGGGCAAACCAACAACAACTCTTGTAATTTTTTTTTTTTGTTAATTGGGTTTTGTATTAAAGGGACACAAATGTAGAGTAAAATTGAATTTTTTTATTTCCATCCCTTAATCACTGAAAAAAATAACTTTTTTCACTTTTTAAAAATTAAAAAAAAAATAGCCGATTTGTAAAGTATATTGTTTTTAACATTTTAGTATACCTTACATTCATATCCGATCAATTGTTTTTTTTTTTTAATAATATCTAGTTATTTTAGTATCCAGAGAAACGCGTAAAAAACGAGATTACCACGTTACGCGGTAGCGAATCATAGTTGTTATATAAAAAGTAATGAAACTGTCAAAAAATAAAAATGTTTACAGTAAGCGGATTTTCATTAGAAATTAAAACGGTTATTACCCACTGAGAAACTATTCATCGGATATGAATGTTTTATTTGTTAAAATTTTTAGTTTTTTTGTTAATAAAATTTATTAATATTTTCCAAAACAGCTACATTTAAAAATCTTAAAAAATGAAAATTAAAATCATTTTTTTCAGTGATCAAGGGATGAAAATAAAAATTTAATTTTTCTCCGCATTTGTATCCCCTGACACAAAACCCTACTGACACAAAATTAATATCAATAGAGTTTTCTGAACATTTGAATAACACTGTAGGACATTCTGTATAAAAAGATGTAAAATGTATTTTTGTCCGTTGGCGGCAGATTAACGATAAACTGGTGATACTATTATTATTGATAGGTACACCGTAAAAACGCGTTTTTAATAATATTCGTGTCGGAAATCCTATAGTCATTTTCCGTCATTTTGTTTAGGTACATCATCGTCACTATTTTATTTGCGAGGACGAAATATCGAGCATAATATTTTGTTCGTGTTTTCAGAAACTTTGGCGTTTGTTATTTTTCTATAAAACGAAAACATTCTGGAAAATTTTTTAATAAAATTCAAAAAATAAATATTTTTATTTCGACGACCACGGCGACGTTCAATTCTACTATCATCATGGCTACACCATTATAATAATAATCGATTTCACCGGCATTTCGGTCGAATAAGAAGTATTCAATAAAATATATAATACAATATATTGTAATAATATTCTCCGAACTTCAGATCCCGAAAGTGTAATGTGTGTATGACAGTTTTTTTTTCCGGAGAAATTGACGGTTAATCGATTTAAATTTTAAAAATCCGAACATACCTAGCACCTGGCGCGTAGGTGTAGATTATTTATGGGGAAGGGGGTTAACTTTCAGTTATATATAATAGGCTGAAATAAAAAAAAAAAAAAGGAAAAAAAAGCTGTTAAGATCGTTTGTATTTTTATTATAACCTATTTATTTACTAATTGGGATTTTGGTAATTCAAGGTTTTTAACGTCCCTCACCCTCTTACCTACACCGATACTTAGCACCATAGGTATGCCACAGTTATGAATGGGAGATTTTGAAGGTATTCTAGTTGAGGAAGAAAATTTATTTTATAATATTCTAAAAGAAAAGATTGGAATCAAAAAACGATTCTGAGAGTGATTCGGTAAACTGATAAAAGAAACTGATCGTGTTTTTTCCTCGGTAGAATAAACCAAAATTCAACCTAACTAAACCACACCACATCGTCATTTTTATTTTATTTTTTTTTTTTTAGAAATACCCGCCTATTGTAATTTAAGATGAAAACAATCTGGAATATTTTTACTAATCGAAAGTGTTACCCATAAAAAAAAATCTTCTCAAAAAACATACATAATATATGAGTAGAACTATTCTTCTTCACTACATTACAAAATATACAGTGGGATTTTTTTTTATTATTATTATTTGTTGTACCTGTGAACAACAGGACAAAAGACCTTTTTTGTTGCATTTGATATTTATTTGGTGAATATGAAAGTCATATTTTCTAAGAAGTTTTCCCAATAATTAAGAAAAACCAAGACGTAAAATAAATACGGACAAATAAATAGCATAAATATATTGTAATTTTAAAATTTTACGGTTCATATTTTTAACCAAAAATATTGCTCTAATTGAAAAACGAGATCTTTTTTTTATTAAAATTTGGGTTCAGTTGGTAGATGAAAAAAAATCATTGAATTTTAGTGTAGTTTTATTGATAATTGAGCAAAACCTCGAATAAATTTAGAAAGAACGGGAAAGTTTACGGGAATAACTATTATAATTACTTTAAATGTTTTTTTTTTTTTGGAATTAAGTTATCAATATTAGTAGATATATGTAATTTTGACAAAAAATGTATATCGGTTTATTCTAAACATAGTGACATTTGTAAGATATATTTTCCGAGTAGAAAAAACAAAAGGAACTACGAGATAAACTATTGAAAATTTAAAAAACACAAAAATGTTTCAAGTAAAGTGATAACAACCTCAATTGAAAATTCCTTATGATTATGATAAGACATGAAACAAATAGGAAAATTTTTATTGTAACCGGTAAATTGCTTTTAGAGGGGAAAAAACATTCGTAATAGCTTTTCCTTGACTACATGGAATCTTAAAATATGCATTGTTTAGAAACGAATGTTTATTTTATATTTTCCGTTCAAACTCGTGGGAAATATTTATTTTCTTAAATCGCATAATAATAATAATATAATATTACACTTAAGATTTATTTTTTTTTTCGGCAACTACTGCTACAGTTTTTGTGGTTATTCAAATTCCGGTATATTTGTATATAATTTGTTATTCCAACGTTTTTAGAAGGTATATATTTGAAAAATGAATGCAAGTATAGGTACGCGATAGACACGATCCTATAAACATCTCAATTCAAAAGAACATACTATGCATACACTCACCGTTGTATTATAAATTCGTTCATGTTTTTTTCACGTTTCTCATGGAATATTAGATTTGTTTGGATTTCTGAAGTACAGGGAAATTTAATATCATAACAATAACAATATATACAAACTACGTATAATACAATGGTAACAAATATAATAGGAATGTAAACGGGGTGTATACGCTCCATTCAAAATGCATAAACCTCTGTGTAGTGTATGTAAACAAACCTATCGAAGCAAATGAGCAAAGTAATTTTCAACTTCACTGATGCGTCGTTTGTATGAGAGAAAATAATATGAAATCAGAAAATCTTTTCCAAATTCATACTATAGATACCTAATAGGTTAGGTTTTCATGTCATTTTAAATAATATTTGGTTCAACGATCTTAACATATAAAGATCTCAAATTATCAAATTTAATCGATTACGCGTAGGCCATCATCTCCTTCCCTCCCATTCGTTTAAGCTCAATATCAACGATTTCCCTTTTTAAAAAAACTACGAAGAAAATCAAAAAATAACCCTAATGCACAAACTAAATGAAAAATTCTATAAGAAAGTCCGTATTCAGATTTTGATTGGAGTAAGATTGTTGTGGTAGAAAAGTTGTTAATAGGCACATAAAAAAAAATACATCATAACAAGACATATACATTCCTTGCTTTGCTCAGAATCTAAAAAAGAAATCAAATTTTCGAGAAAATACCGTAATAAAAAAAAAAAAATCCCTCTTGTATGGTCGAAATTGCATTTAACTATAAATTGCACGCCATAAAATGTTGTCACGGCGGCCGTAAAGATACGGGATACTATTCGTTCAGTTAATTGAAAATGTAATACCTATAAGCCGTCTAATTTTAATAGTTGGATATTTTAAATACCTAATATAAACTAATGGCTAGTGGCATTATTATAAAATCGATATAAAACTCATGTGTGCGCTATTGAGTATATTAACATAATCGCACCGCAATATTAACAAAATTAAAACTAGAAATTGTTGTTAGATATTCAGAATATTTTTATTTTTTATTCGATTTACACGTCAAATTTTTAATTTCAAAACATTTTTAAACGAAGAAATGTCGAATGTACAGTGTGGGGAAGGCAATTACCTTTTGGTCCAACAATTATACTTTTAACTAATATGACCAGTCGTCAGTCAGTCAATGTGACCACTGGCCGCTTAATGCGATAGCACAAGTATCTACAGAGGCCGTGATTATAATTGATTAACACTCTGAAATTCTATACAGATTTCTGAAAGAAATTATTATTTATTGGTAGTTTGATGTCTAAGAGGGGGTCATGGTCCGTAGAGCCCCCCCTAAACTCCACGCCCGCTGCGTTTATTTAAAATGGCTTGTGAGATAAATATTTCGGATTTTTGTTTTTGTATGGATTTTCTTTTATGATAATCACGTAAACGACAGTGTGAAACCTACCGGTTGCTCACTCGACGCGTGTTACTAGTCGTTTCTGTCGCACGTTTTAATTAATTTGAATTTTATTTATAATGACGTATAATAGTACCTAGCACTGAAACTAATGTTATTTACTTTTTAAATTAGACATACATAGCATAGAATAAATTATAATAATATTACCTGTCACGATAATGTTACACTAACACTATTATGGTCACCCTATGGTAAAAAAAAAGTTAATAAATTAATAACATTTTTTTTCCTCGACAGTTGTATTACATTATTAGCAGTCATATTAAAAAAGAAAACGGAGAGACGAAAGTAATTTTAAGAATAATGAGCTGAATAGTAAGTTTATTAGTCAACTTCTATGTAGGAGTTGCTTGGGGCGTTTTAAGAAAATTATGGAGAAAATGATGTGCGTTCGAAAAATATTATTATTAAACCATTTTTAAGCATTTAATGTACCAAGTATAATTTATATTTTTAAATGAAACAACATTGACCGACTGTTAATTTATAGTTTATTAATATTCCGAACATTAATTTTTTGATACTATTGAATTAATTCTTCTTTGTGTTATCCGTTTTATAAGCGGCAATTCTAAAATAAACATAACCAACATTATTCAACAAGACGGAATAATACGTTCATTAAATATTAATCATTAACTTTTTGTATGACAAACTCGGTGTTCTATAATATGTATTATAATAAGATTTGAATTTATTTCAGATTTAGAAAGAACGAAGGATTTATTGGTTTTACTGTGATGTTTTTGTATTTTTTTTAAAAAAATTATTTGTAGAGACTTCTTAGAATTTTTTTAAAAATTCATATTTGCTTTTTCTAGATGTAGTAATTTTTTTTTGGTAAATACTGTTTCCACTAATGTGGAAATAACTATTTGACCAATTAGTAATGTTTTGGTAATTTAACAAAAGATTATTACTAAGTTGTACTTCGTGGTTAATTAAATTTTTTTTTAATGTTATTGATATCTAATTTTGATTAAAATCGTAATTATTACGGTCATTTAAATAATGTATAAGCGAATTGAATTCCTAATTGTTTATCGTTACTAACAAGTATAAATTGAATTGCTTTATACATATTGCCTTTTCAATTTCTCACCAAAAACAGTGGCTCAATCATCAGCAGTATCATCTAATATTTTTCGATATTATATTTTGATCGTATAACGACGAAGAATTTTTTTTTTTTTATTATAGATAATTGTTTTTTTGCCTGGTCAATTTTTATCAAAACGAAATATTATTTCTGTGATTTCGCCAAATTATTTATTTTTTTCTAAATGGCTAGTAGCAAATAATATAAACGTGTTTAGACTTTTTTGTAGCTTACGAACAAAACACATCGATTTACAATACACTATATTATTACAATAAAAAAAGAACAGAAACCCGCCTTTTATAGAATATCGACGTTACCATTTTTGCAGGACAATAAAGACGTGTCTTGACGTCATCATATTATGATAAATCTTCTTTATCGTCACAATCTGTGAAATATTTATATATTTCTCCCCAAAAGTATGCATCAGAACTTTACTATAAGCCGGTTTTTCTATTCAAACAAATAATTTCAAACATATTAAACTAAAGCCAGATTCATGTGACGATAGTAAGTGATACTTAACGTTGTGACTTATAACTATCACTGAAGCGGCGTACATACATTAATATAGGTTTTAGTGAAAAATTGTATAAAAAAAATTGATGGTAAATTGAATGTATTGTTTCGGAAATGTTTGTGGAAATGTGAATTGTTGAATGTAAAAAAAAAAGATAGTATATGTTTTATCAGTAAAATTTACTACCAACTGTTGTGATAGTTACAAGAGTCTTTTTCTGATGTATTTTAGATCTAGTTAATGCAATATTGGTTTTTTTGTTGAAATTCAGTAAAAAATATTTGTAGAGTCTTGAAATTTGGATAGAAAACTTTAAAGGTTTTTATAGAAGTGGTAATATTTCGAAACATTAGGGCTATTTTTTAAACTATTTATAGAAACTTAACAAAAGGTTTTTATAAGTTATAAAAAATGGTGAAAAAAAAAATCGTAAAAATTACAATATTTCAAAACATTTAAAACCGAATTTCGCTTAGAATCGTTTTTCGATAGCAACGGGTTGTCGTTGCATACTAATGTAAATAAAATAAACTTATGTAGTGTANGTGTTAATATTTCGAAACATTAGGGCTATTTTTTAAACTATTTATAGAAACTTAACAAAAGGTTTTTTATAAGTTATAATTAATGGTGAAAAAAAAAATCGTAAAAATTACAATATTTCAAAACATGTAAAACCGAATTTCGCTTAGAATCGTTTTTCGATAGCAACGGGTTGTCGTTGCATACTAATGTAAATAAAATAAACTTATGTAGTGTAAGTACATAGTCAAAATTATTTTTTAAATTATATAAATTATAAATTCATATACAGTGAAACCTCTAAATACCGGACACTCTCGGTCGCCGTAATTTCGTCCGTTATTTAGAGGTGTCCGCTATTCAGAGGGAAAACAAATTTCGAAAATAATTCGGAGAAATAATAACTATATAATATAATATACAAAATTTATATAATACATATATATGATAATGATATGGGTATGTATTTTTTATTTGTATTATTTTAATAGTAAATAAATATTAGTTGTACATGTTATTTTATAAAACTATGATATTATTATGTATGTAAAAATTAATGAAAATGTAAATAAAAATAATTTTAAAATATCATATAGTATAAAAATTAACATTTATTGAACAAATCAGTTACTTTAGCTTGTTTGCATTTGTTAGCTCGATGCATAGTAATTGCGTGTATTAAGGCATTTTGTAATTTAACTGCGTTGGTGAACAATGAAATATTCTGTGTATCGATAGAAGAAATGTATTCACGTACACCCTGCACTGCTGTCAGTGCCTCCTGTAGACTTCCTATTTGTGGAGTTAGATCCTTTTCTTGATCTTGGGTATCATCTTTTTCTTCGTCGCTTTCTACCCCTCATTTAGTGTGGACATATTCGTACTGTTGTTGATATCGGTGTCGTAAGTCTCTACATGATCGTCTAGTGTTATGTATTCATTCTCTATAATTTTTTTGTAAAGTTTTGTAAAGTGCGACCTTATTAGATATGATATTCGCGATTTGTATTTTACTAACACTAAACTTGTCTGCAAACGCACGAACACCCATATTTGTATTACACACTCGAAATTCAAGAATCTCAATTTTTCTTTCATACTTAATCTTTTTCGTTTACTAGCCATTACGTACTGCAATACGTTTACGAATACGTCCGTATGTATTGAAATCACAAATACAACTAAACATGTACGAGTAGGATAACATCACAGACTAGAAAAACTAGAAAAATATTTTCATCGACGCGATAATGGACGGATAAGATAAACTATAATTGTGTATAGTATAATAATGTATTGTAGTAACATTAGATTAGATATTTCTTAAGCCATTCTACAATATTATTCTTTATTTACGATAAAAATTATCAAAATCAAAAATTAAATTACCATAAAAAAAGTGTCCGATATTTAGAGTGTCCGGTATTTAGGGGTTTTCCCATATAAAAATGGTGAAAATGTTCCCGTTCCCATAAAAGCGTCCGCTATTCGGAGGTGTCCGCTATTTAGAGGTGTCCGTTAAGGTAGAATTCACTGTATTATGCGGGTAAATTTTTTCTCTCGATTACTCACGTTTGTCTGTTTAATTAAATTATTCTGTAGTTTAAATCGCTTTATGTAGGTACTGACTTCAGACTGAAAACTTACGCTGTACCTTTTAGGTGAAATACGCATATCTGAAACGTTTAAACAAAATCTATAGCCAAAATAAAGAGGGGAGAACGGATTATAAGGAGTAATGATAGCTTTTTTTTTTGTTGGTAATATATTATCTAGGGAAATAGTCGTTGTTACTGTAGCCATAAATATAATTAAAACGCTTCAACTCGGTTGAACTTGGATGTACGACGTCTTAAAAACATTTGTTTCTTTAAATTTAACCAGCAGTTTTTTAATTTTACCATATATATACAAGAAGCTATATAGAGAACATATAACCTAGACATATGTCCATAATTTATTAGGGAATTTGTTTTAATATTGAGCGGAGCGAGGAATGTATAGGTTTTACTGTATGCTGTAATTATGCGTATTTTTTTATTTGCTTTTTTTACCGTCTGTAAATAACTTTCCACCAGTTATCTCACTCCAATAAAAAATGATAAGAAACCTTTTATGTTGCATTTTGGATCTAGTTGGTAAATCGAGAAGGTTAATTTTAGTTTTTTATGTTTTTTTTTTTTTTAACTAGAGAAAAATAGGGAAAATCTTTCAAAATACCGGAAAATGTACGGTATTAACGATTTCAGCGTTTCCGATTTCGATTTTTATGGTAATTTGGTTAAAAATAATCATAGGGACCAGACATTTTCAATGAATATTTATAAAATTAATTTTTAATTTTTCTTAAAAATGGAAAATTGTCGTTTGTACATTATACTGTTTTAATATTATATAATCGATCGTCATCATCACCAAACGTGTAATGCACCTCTTGGATATCACTAATAATCTGGCTGGCATTCCGCAAAGCCTCGAGCATGTTTACGGTGTCTTTTCTACACTTGGATCTATGTTCAGATTCCTCGAATAAAGCTCGTTCATATTGATATAAATGTGTGATAAGTTCGGATTGCAAGTTGGTCTTCATGAAATTGACTAAAAAATGCATAATTATCTTTGGAACGCTATCTTGAATAGATTTTCTGATGATGTAGAAATACGATTTGATTAATGCTTCAATCATGTTACAATTTCGTTGTTCTTTCTCGGTTAAATTTCTATTCGGTGAACCGTGTAAATTCATACTGTTGTTGAAACAATTGGCCATTTCGTCCAATGCTAATATATTGTTTTTCACTTGTTGCACTGGTTTAGCGGCCGGCGAATACTCGGTGGCGCACTTGGTTTCATTGTTTTGGTCTGCTTGATGTTGCATAATCGGATTTTTCTCCATCGAACCTGTATTACTACACCCGTTGGTTGTATTTTTTACATTATTGCATTTTATCGAAAATTCATTTTCTTCAGCGTTCTTCGCCATTAACGATACAAATTCTGTACACCAATTAAAATCTGGGTGCTTGGTATTGATATACGCTGTTTCAATAGCTACCATATTTTCAATCATTTTATTTGTCGTTGACAAACAGTTACGTAACATTTTTGTGACAACGTCCAAAATCATTTCGCGGAGTTTCGGGAATCTGTTAAATTCCTGTTGGGAATTTTGAATACAGCAGTGGATCATACGCAGCATTTCCTCATGTACAAGCTCTACGCATCGCAAAGAAGGTTGTTCAAATCGACCAATTTGCCTCTTCACTAGTATTTCAAAAGCCGTTTCAGGAACGAATAATTCCGATTTTGTCCCCGTTACATTGCGTATAGCGGTTATCACGTGCATTTTGGATAAACCCGTGAACGGGTGAATGGAATCTAATACTTTTCCAAATATATCGTTGAATATATAATATATTCGAGCTCCACCACACACTTCAGACGTTTCGATATTTTCGGATGCACCGTCTATCGTTGAACAATACGTATTGACAAAGTTTATGGTAGTACGCAATTTTGTTTGGATTTTAAGTGATAAGTCGTTGTCAAATGAATTCAAAACCGATTTTAACTCTGAAATCTTAATATTTATTTTGGTTTTTAATTCTGGCGAATAATTTCTAATTTGGTCTATCAAGATTCTATTAATTGTTTTTGCCAGATGTGGAGTACCATTTCGATTGGCCAATAAAGAATATTTTCTTTGCAAAAAAACAGATTCATCTTTCAAAGCATCGACAAGAGATTTATTATCATTTGTTTCTTGTTGCGATCGATTTATAACACCGATTATGCCAAGTTTAACAGGAATCACGTGGCCGCTTAGTACATCAACAGCGTCAGTACCAGCATCCATCAGATCGAGTTTTGTGATCACGGCTAATGTTCTCTTTCCTTCAGGATCTACTTCTCTCGACAATTTCAAACTTTCACTTGTTGATAAATCCATATTAGCGGAACTAATTGCTAGAATTATTGAGTTTGGATTTTTGATATACTGTATAATTAAATTTTTTATTTGCATTTCAATATCTTCTGGTTGATCACCTATAGGAAGTTTAGTCATTCCGGGCAAGTCCACAAGTGAAAAATTTAACATATAGGTAGAATATAGCTTCAAATAAATAGGATCTGGGCATATTCCAGACCTACCGATGATTTTATTAGTTTCGACTTGGATTTCTTCGCGTATTTCATTAAAATCTGTGAAAACTTTTTCACAATGTGAAAACTCACCCCATTCTTTCAAGTTCATCATACCGCTTTTGGCTTTTCTGCTTAAATTATCGTTAAGAGGGCAGTTAACTAGCTGAAGAACTAAAGGCCGTCTTGTTACGGTTCCAATGCCTTTAGGTAAAAACGATCTACCAACAATACTTTCTATAATAGAGCTTTTACCGGAACTCTGCGATCCTACAACAACAATTTGAGGTAAATGTAAGGTATCAAATTCGACGGTGTTCAAAACTTCTTGTAAACGATTGATCATTGAAATTAGCTTGTCCATTTATAGGCGTTTTTAGTATTTTCGGGCGACAACCACTATTCGAGTATTTGACAGTAAAAAATTCGTAAAAAATTAAGAAAATATTAAATTCAAATGACGATGGAACCAAAGTATAATAATTAAAAATGATATATTTATTTTGGATTTTTATGAAAAAATTACAACCGAAAAATTAAGTATTGATTTTATGAATACAAAAATCTGATTATTGTGCATAATGTAGCCAACAAATAAAATTTTTTTTTCATTATACCACATGATACGTAAATAATATTAATTTCAGAAGATAGTTCAAGTTCCGCTAATGTATATTTCGTTATTATTTTTACATTTTAAAGAAGGATTTAAATGTCAAAAATTGATTCAACTATAGGCTAGCCGTGGTTCATAAACCTAATAAAAAATATAGACATTCTCTCCATGATGGATAGACCACTATTGTAGGTGAGTTCTTGAGAAAGTAGAGGGGAAATTATATATATATCTGTACGCAACGACTAACGATTTCTAACGTTTCTGAGTGAAGTTCATTTAATATGGTTGCTTTGTCAACCATATATAAGTCATATTATAGCAAAACAATTGCATATGCATTATATATTTTCTTTAATAATATTTTGTTTAATATTGTACCTATTTTCCGTTTTTCTTACCTACGTTTTTCCCGGTTTTTCCTATGTTTTTCTTGGTCTTTCTTGGCATTTCTGTTCAAGTCTAACAATTTTTTAAAAATGTATTTAAAAATCCTTTTGATAACTGAAATCAACTAAATAAATTCAATTTAACTTATATCCTCATGTGTTATAGTACTACCCCTGTCTCTTTTTTATTTCATTCGTATAAAATAGTATAAATCGGTTTTCTTATTATTATATTACATCCGTGTCATTAATTTTACCCATAATACTTTAAACCAACAAAAACAATACGGATTTTCGTTCTACAAATACCAAAAATCTAGTGTTAGTCGCTGTTTAGGAATGTAGTTTCATAATTCCGGTATTGAGGTGCATAATTCTGTATACACCTCAATGCATATCCATTTTTGTATGTAAATGTTCAGAACTCTGTGTACGATAGATTTGGGTGTAGATCGCACATAATTATACAAACAGAAAAACATATTCTTTTTTATTGTAGAAAAACGACCTATTGAAAATATCGTCTCGTACGACAATGTGTGTTTAGATACGTCATTTTAACGTTTAATAAAAAATAGTTTGTACTTACTTACCTATCCACTATACAGGGGTGAATATAGAAATATGAAATGGGGGGAGAGATAATTTGTATTTACAGAAAGATAAAATATATAATTTTTGTAAATACATGTGTTTATTAGTTATAATATATTTTACAAATGATAAAATATGAAAAAATAATAAGTTCATTAGTCTTTCGATCAATCTTCAATTTTCATTCGTTTTTTAGGCTTTTATCGAAAAAATCTGTTTATAACTTCATCGATATCAATGGGTAATTTTTTATGAATATTATAGTACTGCTCATCCATTTAGCCTGTTTTCTGTCATAGAAAATCTCATGTAATTTTTCAATCATCATAGAGAAGAAAATGATATTTCAGCTGCTGCTGATGTTATGGTAATTTTTGTACGAATTTGTAGTAAAATTTTAATGTTTGTGTTAAACAAATCACAATGTATCAATGTTTCAATAGCATTTTTGGGCTTTTGATTTTCTATGTTGGCCCATTTCGTCTTCCAGAGTTCTAATTCAGCTTGTATTTCTAAGTCAGAATTTGCTGGTATATCGTCATCATACATTAATGCCGCTTTTAATATGTCTTCTGTTTTATAATTATTTTTGTTATCAGGGATCAATCCTTCTAATGGGATAATATCTTTAAACCTATTATTAAATCTGATTTGATACCGGGCATCGATATCCAACAGTCGTTGCTCGAACAGTAATAATTATACTTGCATTTTAAATGTACACATATAAAGATATACCTATTAAATATTCATTGCATACTTACATAATATAAAACACGTTCAAAGGGGGGAGGGGTTAACCCCTTTGCCCCCTCCACTTGGATTCACGCCTACTACTATTTATGGCTTGTAAACAATATAAAAATTGAATTCAAATCGGATCTGAGACTCCATGTATACGAGTTATATATATATATATATATATATATATATATACATATTTACTGTCCCACGAAGATACACCCTTTGAATATCTCCGGAGATAATAAAGATAATACATTTTTTTTTATATATATTATTCACAAGGATGAAGACTACAAATATTTATAATTTAATTCAATTATTTTTTTTTTTTATTTTCAAAGATATTCAAAGGATATATTTTCGTGGGAGAGAGTGTATATATATATATATATTGCATATACGAGTTAGTAGTTTTTAATCTCAATTCTGTGCAATAAAAATATGTAGTCAAAAATTTGTTTTTTTTAATCAAATTAATTAAAACGTTTTTTTTTTTTTCATATAAACGACTACTTAATTATATATGATAATATTAAAAAGTTGCACATAATATTCAAATCATTGGTAAGTCCGCTGTTATCGATCGGGAGTTAGCAATGTATAGAGTATTAGATAATTTAGTTTATATAATTGAAATAAACGATAAATCAATGAAAAAACAATTGTGAACGGTGTTCGGTAAACTGGCATGGTTATATTATAATATCAGTCGCAGTTTTTTCCCTGGTAATCAATATCGAATATTTTTTTTATTTAATTTTGCGCCCTATTTCGATGTGCACTCGTAGCTTGAGCCAGTCTCGTTAAGTGCTATTTGCGGCTCAACTCCGAATTCCGGAACCTAAGGTCATTCGGTCAAAATATTTAGTGTTACCTACCTGAACAAATTTACATAATATAGACATTAGACACATCGTAACAACGTTTTAAAAAGGACGTTAAAACCGTACTTATGCGTGTAAATTGTCAAACTATGAAAGTGTTACCGAGATATGAAAATGTCGAAAATCGCGGTACAAAATAATATAAATGTAGGACAGATTGTTTACGCATGCCAGTTTATTTAAAGGCCATCTCGATTGTTCGTACCCCCAGAAATTATTATGATATACAAATGACTTGAATCATATACATTGCATAATATATATCCGTAAAAAAAAAAAAAAAAAAATTAATAATAACTCGAACAGTTAGTTGGTGTGTGTATGAGAAAGGGAAGTGTTGATTTCGCGCTGAAAAACCGAGACACACGCGATACGCAGTCTGACCGTATAATCATTAACGGACATAAAATATTATAAAAACGTGTCGTATTTATAATGATAGTATGAGTAATATTCTGTTCGGGTGGAGCAAAAAAAAAAAAAATGCGGTGCGACAAACACCGCGGAACGGTGCAATTATTTTACACGTCCGCGGTAGCGTAAACGATACCTGTAGAAAATCATCCCGTGTCGTTCGTACAAATAGTATCCACGTACCTATTATAAAACTAACTCATAGCTTACTCACAAACTCGCCATTGAATTGTATTATTATCTGAAATATTTTGTCGTAAAATAATTGCAAAAAAACCGTACCGTGTGCAGGCCACTGTTGTAAATGGGAAGCTAGAAAATGTACAGGATATATTGGGTAATTTGTTTAAAATAATATATCATGTATGCAGCTATAAATGATTGTAAACCAAAAACGGTTCTGAAGGATTTTCGGTTAAACATTTATTTAATACATTTAAATTAAAAACCAAATTAATTTATTAAAATAAATTACAATAGATAAATCGTTTGGATTTATTGCGAATAAATTACAATTGTTAACATGCATTGAACTTAAGCTAAATAATTTGTATTCGCTTGAAAACTATAAAACTTCGACAATTTCAAACAGTTTTTTTTTTTTTTTTAGAATATTTTGAAAACTGTTCCATATAATATATAAAGAGCCAACATAAGTATTTTCCGTTTGAATGAAAACTTCAAGTCACTATTCGATTATTTTTCAATGATATTCAACAAAAACCAAAATCGAACAGAAACAGAAAATTAACAGAAATCGTTAATGTTAATTCCGACCTTTTTTCCTAGTTTTATTCTGAAAAAACTACAAATAAAATCAATAATGCACCAAAAAGACAATATTTTCTACCAGTAAATACTCTTAAGGTTTTGACGATCGGATCAAGATTACTGTTAGAAAAGTCGTTCAAAAACAAACAAAAAAAAAAACTGATATCATAGTTAAAACCAATACGTTTCTCGCTATATTCAAAATGTAAAAATAAAATAAGATACTGCTGAATGCTAATAAGTATAAGTCTAAACATTCAATAACGTAAAATCGGATCATTCGCAAAACTTAACAGCGCGGTGAATGATAATACAGTAAGCAGAATTGACGTGTGCTTTTGAAATGTATGGGGAGGATACAAATATCAGAGCAGTGACGTTTTATGAGGGATCGTTCGGGAGATGTATGGCCCCCATCCACCCAGTATCTATTATTGTATAAAATATAATATTTAATAAACTCACCATACGCGTAAAAAACAATAATATCACAATGATATCATATCGTACTAATAATAGTAAGATAGTAAAAAAAATAAATTAACACAATGCATGTACAATACACTACGTTAATAGCGTAACGATTTTTTTGACGGCGAATAACGCCAATAACAATAATCATTAAAACCACACCGTATTATTATGCCCAATGTCGATATGAGAAAATATACATGGGATATGGAAAGCTAAGACGGGGACAAGTCAAAAGTTTATTGAGTTTTATTCGTGTACAATTAACGACCAATATTCTAGCACCATCGAGTTAAAGATACGGAGAGTTAAGTCAACTAGGTACTGAAAACCTTATTAATTTAATACATAATAAACGGCATACTATAATCATTTATAGGATAAACTGTAAATTTTGGTGACAAAATGTTTTTGGGAAAAAACTATTCATGAGCTTTTAAGAATATTATTTCGTACTTTACTAGTAACGACTTCTGCTAAGCTTCAAAGATATTTAGACAGAATTAAGTCCTTCCTTAGGAACAGTATCGTGACGGAAGTTAATATTTTACAATTCTCGCGATATTTTTTATTCACGTTGGTGTCTGTAGCGTAGGCATATTTACAAATATTATAATCTCAATGCAAGAACAGAATAATAATGTGTTGGCCGAGAGCCTCTGCCGTATAAACATTGTAGGTGTATAGATAGTGTTTTAACCTCCTATATTATAATTATATTTTTAACTTTTAAAATTGTAATTTCATTAGATTACTGACCTTTTATAGTGTGATTCTGTGAATACGTGTCGAGACGATTTACGGACGGTAACGGCGACGACGACGGACCGGAAGAAAAATTAAAATGCCATCGGATGACAACGGCGGCGGACACGAACGAATTCGCGACGGTAAACGTAGACAAGCTGTGGACGACGACGACGACGACCGCGACGGTTCGCGAGAAAATCCGCGGTGCGCCCGTATCCCGCGCCGGCTGTAGGGATGTACGTTCGTCGCGGACGGCGCGGCGCGCGCGGACCGACGTATTCCCGGCACCCCATTGGCGGGGCCGACACCCCCTTCGCGCCCCCCCTGCCACCATGGAGTCTTGCGTTAGATTTTTACAAAGTGTATCTATAAGTGTTTTTTTTTTTTTTTGGGAGGACGGGGGGGATTTAAATGAAATTATAACAATAAATAAAATATATAATAATAATGAAAAAAAAAAAAAAAAAAATCGAATTATTATTATAGTATTGTTTTCAGAGAGGACAATAATTGATAAGTGAGTGTTCGGCGTTCTGTACTATTTAATGCGTCGTGCGTTACGCAGCGACGAATGCTGGGGAGATGGTACACCCCCTCCAAAGAAATCCTCAGAAATTCTACTCTGATTTACAATGGTAGTACATTTTATAAATGGAAATCTGAATGGGGTGGTAGTTTAGGAGGGTCATTTTTTTTTCTTTTTCTAGTTTTTATAATAAATAGGAAAAATGATAAATTAGGCACAATATTAAACAAATATTATTAAAGAAACGATATAATGTATATGCAATTATTTTACCATAATATAACTTACCTATGTATTGTTGAAAAAGCAACCATATTAATCGAACTCCGCTCAGAATCGTTTTTTGTTAGCAATGAATAATCGTTGTACAGATATACATTACATTTCCCCTTTACCTTTCTAATTTATCACCCAGAACAACCCAGTCTACCTACGTGCGAAGTATTTTTGTCTATTTTCTTTGTAGTTATGTAGCTTGATCAAGGAGGGGGGGAGCTAAGAATACTTAAGCCCTTCTAAATAATATTATATTATCAAAATTATAAAATTGTATTTATTTCAAAATAACGTGAGTATCTGTAGGAAAAATGACATCAGTTTGTATACTGTATAGCGTAACAGAGGAAGGTAAATAACAATACCGAGGGATACCCGTCTGAAAATATTATTACGTCACTGACGCCGACGGGACTACTCGTAATTGTGCGATGGGCGCCAAAACTTAAAAAAAAAAACCTACAACAAACAAAAACAAAAGAATTTGTGCCAAAAATCGTATCACTTTTGGACCACGTTTCCATGTTAAATGAATACTATGAATTAAGGAAAAAATGTCCGATGAAAAAAATATTTTAAGCCAAACATAATTTTTTTTTTTTTATTTAAGATAATAATATATTGTTATAACATAACAATTTACAATTTATTTGGGTGTGTTTGAATTTGAATAACAATCGGACATTTCGGTAGAATGTCGTAGGTACATCATTATTACATATAATCAGGTACTTTAAGAATACATTTTACGTTTCATTGTTTTATGACGTACCGGTGTATTTGTGTAGACCAGTGCACGCTATAATATAACCAAACAATCGACGCGCGACGTGCTGATGCATTTAAAAAATGCATAAAAAAAAAAATAAAGCCTCTAGAAATACGATAAAATTGTTTTATCGTTCGATCGTGCACGTAATATACGCGAGTACACGTGACGATCCGACGAGTGCCGTTTACGGAATGTTTATGACACCGCGGTCCTATACGAATTATATAAGTGCAAGAGGACACTGCCCACGCCGCTGTCAAAAAAATGAAAATAACTCTAAAAAACAATGTACATTATTAGCATAGATAACAAAAAAAATGGATAGGACATTGCCGTCTATTTGAGGTATTTATAATTTTTCGGGCCAACATGCTATGGAATTGAGGTCATTTGTTTAGATTGCTTTACAATATAATAATATTATGATAACTATTGTGATAATGTAGTGCGCAACTATTGTGCAACCTCAATTCTATTATAATGTTTTCACGAATAAGGTTTGTGGTTATATGGATGTACGTTTACAGACCAACTAGTAGTGGGTCATGGATGTATATATGTTTAATAATATAATAGTGCCTGATTAATGGTTATACTTACAAATAAGTATGGTTAATTATATCCTATAATATTATAAATGCGAAAATGTATGCAATTGTGATTCAATTACGCAAAAATAACTGAAGGGATTTCGATTAAATCTGCCACACAAATAACACATGCTCGGGATTAACACATATGGTACTTTTTATCTCTGAATTTAGCCACTGAAAAGGGACTGAATGGCTGTCACGGGGATTTCGGTATTTTAATAAAAATCCGTTATCATTAATTAATTTGGTTTTCTCAAACAAAGAAGTACTCCTTAAAAAAAAAAAAAAAATCACGATTAGTTATGTTAGGTACGATTTGGAAACAGAGAAGTGCATTTTTAAATTTAGTTTTATTTTATTTTTTCTGTGCACAAATAAAGCCGTGCAAGACATCAAGTATATTATTATATTTTATTCATTAGGTATATTAGTAAAGATATTATTTGGTACTTGTGAAAAATTTTAAAAATAAAAAAATAGTTAAAAAAAATTAAATAATAATAATAATAGTAAAAATTATAATAAAAGCCGGGCATATTGGGTAGGCTAATATTGTAGGCAGAAAGGTAAGATATTATGTTGGGGAATTTAGTTTATACACTTATTGTAAATGCAAAATAAAATCATTGCAAATAATAAACAGTTTTGAGTAGATCAACAGAAATAAAAAAAATTAACAAACGACTTACCATTCGGAAGTTCGCACTTTTTAAGGTATTGCATGGCAATATCACAGCATTTTTACTGAACATAAATGTGTTATCCGAGAAAAAAGGTGTACCTTTGTAATAGCTTTTTGATAATACTCAGAATTCAAAAGTTCAAATATACCTATTACAAAAAACGTTTACTACAGATTATAAATACCTGTTTCCAGGAACCGCTTGCGCTCATCTTTGAACTCGTCCGAGATCTGGTGATGTGAAAATGAATGTAAAAACAGAACGTAACAATTTATTTAGACGCTAGAGCGCACACATGCATGCAAACATACATACATACATAAAAACAGGCCGACCAGTAACAAAAACTATGTAAGTACCTAGTAAACGAAATAAGCACAATATTAGTATAAGTTGTAAGTGAACAATATAAATACTTTATTGAATTGTTTATTTATACTAGGTGATAAGTCGCAATTTTGTTGAAAATTACTTTTTTAATAAATAAATGCTGTGACTATTAACAGACCGTTTACTTTTGATAGGAGTCACACCGGTACTAATATTGTATGATGGTTCATTTTAGTGTGGTATTTCAAAAATGTTGTTTATTTATGAACAGTGCTAAGTACCATAATATCGACTCCATTAAAAAATAAATAAAAACGTTATCAATCCAATATTGGATATTAGCAACGTTAATATTTTTTCTCGAAAATATTATCACAGTAAATTATTAATCGTCGTTTTTATCATTATTAAATATTTAAATTATGATAAAAACAACGATTAACGAATTATTATTTTTATACTAATAATCTCGTTTATGATTTAGTCATTTTATTTATGAAAATAAAACTTGTTTATAAAAATGGTCAAAATCGTAAGCTTAAAATTGTTGGTTAAAAAATAAATATGAAAAATTGATAGTCCCAAATTTAAATAAGTGTAGCTCATAAGAATTAGAAAATATTTTTTATAATTTTTTGTTGTTGTAAAACAGATATTTTTAATTTCCCAAAAATTGTACTTTTTGGATTGAACCCGTTTTATTAATAAGTGATTCAACTATTCATTGTGAGTGGAAAATTTCGAAGTTTTATAAGATATTGGGTAATTTAGTTTATAATATAGAAAAAACAACGATAAATTATTGCAATAAAAAACGATTCTGAGCAGTGTAGGTAAACCTGTACAGTTCTCATAGTACTAATAACTTAACCTACGGTTAATAACAATAAACACACATATATTTTTAAGTTAGGTGCATTAGGTAACCAATTAAGTACCTAATCAAAAGCCTAATATCGTCAAAGTTTAGTTTTACATAATTTAATTTCTGAGCAAATCATTATTGTACCGAAAAAAAAAATGTTCTCAAATTTTATAAACTAGCACGAGTAGGTGTGTATAATACTATAATTTATTAAAATTCGTTGGTATTATTCTGGTTTCACAATTTTTAATTCTATGCAATTTAAGTTCACTTATTTTATTTATGCAGCTATAGTTGAGCCCAAGTTCCAAATACTCGTATTAAAATAATTATAAATTAATATTTTAAAAATTAAGAAGAGAAATATTTTATTTTATTAAATTATTTGAAAATTAAAGATTTAAAACGAGAAAAAAGATATATGATTGCCCACTCTTTGTTGACTAATATTCAAACAAATGTATTTAAATAATGAGATTGGTGAGTTGATAATAATAATATTTAATTAAGCCAATTATTATATTATTTTTGAAGGAAAGTAAAAATACATCTTTTTACTTTAGGAACAAATATTCAAATGGTTTTATTATAAACAAAAAAAATCGTACGAATTTTAAGACATTTCATAATATGTGAAGTAAAAATATACTGTGTACTTGAATGTTTTAATTCGAATTATAATGGTTTATGTACAGTTACGAAAACTCAACGGTAGACATCTCTAAGTACAAATGCTATTGCCTTTGAAATTCGACCAAGAGATGGCGCAAGTACACTCGTTTTTAAATATGTGTTAAATTGTCCGTATAGTATAATAATAAAATACAATTTGAATGTGATTTCGCAATACTATCGATTTAAATATACCTTATAAATTAAAAGAATATTTACTTGTTAAAAAAAAAAAAATAATAATAAGTCACGTAATCTCTCTTGAACTACACAAACCATCTGAAAGTAACCACAAATAATTTATTATTTTAATCATTACAATAATGAATTAGACCTAACTACCTAACTCTCACCGATAATTTTATAACCTAGTCATATAAATACAAAAAAGTGATCGATATGAAATTAATATATTTATTATGTAAAATATTTAACACAAAAACGCACGATTTAACTTCGAGAGATCAGTTCTAACAGCATTCGCATTATGCATAGTGTAAGTGGACGGTATCTGTACCTGAAAAGTTGTGCTCAACGGTGATTCGACAACGGTTATCACACTTTTCGTCAACCTATCGAAAGAAACGATTCGTTTACCGTTACCATCTTATTATCACTATTCGTATAAAACAAAATGACACTAATAAATTATAGAATGTTTAGGGAATGGTATTATAATTTGCAATGGTGTGGTATTAGTTGATTTGCCTGTGTGAGTTAATCCTAAAACTTTAAATCCAGACTTTTGCTTATGAGGTACATTTGTACCTCATAACCATTTGTATAATATGTAGTGGTTCAGTCTTCAATCGATCCACCATCGAATAAAATTGTTTTGAGTGAATATTTAGGCGTCCTAAAATTATATTTCTATCCACCTACACATATTTTGTTAAACTTACAACATTTGGCCATTTGATTGGTAAAAAACAAAACAAAATTTTAAAAGTAATTAAACAACAATACAAAATACGACGTTTTTAATTTGTATAAATCTGTAATTACATTAAAATTCATTAGTAATGAATCATTATTTACACGGGTATCATCAATAAGTACGTAATGGTTCACGATTCCACGTTTACACAAGAGTATTGAATTTACGTGTTTTAAGTACGTGTCAGTAGTTACAACATTATCGAACTATAACGAATAATGTTATTATTTTTTGAATGAGTGAATATTATCAAGACCAATATTTTCGTTATAAAACCGCGCGAAGTTTTCACTAAATTCTTATATACTATTACTGTGTGTCTTTATTAGGCAGGTGCGTACGTTTCAATTTTGTTTTGTTTTTTTTTTTTTTTTTTTTTTTTTTTTTTTGTCATAATGGAATAACATAATATATTATAAATCAATTAGGTGAATACATACAATTGTAATTATTCTTCTACTCACTAAAGACCGTGGCGCGTCGACAATTTGCTCGGTTTCATTGAGAAATTAACGCAGTGGTTTTCCGTCGCCTTCCGTAGAGCGGCATCTCTTCTTTCCAAGGAATACCGGCCGAGGACAAATAAAATTAATACACGTTTTATATCGTTTAAGCTCGATTCCAACTTGTAACGTTGCTGCCCGCTACTATAGGTCCGTGTTGTTTTTTACACGGACTGCCGAGTGTGTATTCTGGTCATCACACACGGAGGATTCAAATATAATTACAATTCGATTGTTTTTTTTTTTTTTTCTTCGGGATACCTATTCGTTTTATATGCACGTATACCGTGGTGAAATCGTTCTTCGCGCGCAATGCGACTGAACCTGCAGGTGATCGATTATCAATTAAAATCGCGTTATTTTTTTTTTTTTAATTAATACAGATAATGCTTATATTATAATGATATTCAATTATTTATTGAAATTATTATTGTTCCAATCCAAACAAAATCATTATATTTTAGTTATATTCACCAATACCACATATACGGTTATGTATGGTTTTATAATAATACATAATGCAGGAATAATAGGTGTAATGAAATTAACTTCAAGGGTTTTCGGTTTCGGTAACAACAACCGTAACGTGGAGGTTTAATTAAATAATACTGAGTGACGTGGTTTTTTTCTAAAAAAATTTTTTTTAGGGGGGAGAATTTATTGTTTTAATTTACATCGTAACATGGGTTTTCCTTTTCAACCATGAACTGGTATAACATTTCGACCCAGTATCGATATTAATTCTTAATATAATACACGATTATGACCGGTCCATGTCAATTCTTCACCTCGAAATTATCAAATTATTTAAAAATCGAATACTTCAGAACGTTAACTATTGCAGGTAGTTTTTTTTAGCCTAGGTACATAATAAAGTTGTTTCATTTAAAGGGTTCGTTAATCTTCAAAAGGGTCTTACAAATCGAAATGTTCAATGAATTTTGATTCTTATACTTATATTTTATTAGTTTGTTAAAAACTAAAAATGTTCATTAGGAATGGGTAAATAAGCCAGTCGTTCAATTATTAAAAAAAAAAAAAATACTATTCTGAGTGATTAAATAGTTTTTACCAAATTTAAATTGAAAATATTTATAATATTTATCATACAATTTTTTGTCAAAATTTGAACTTTGAGTAGTCAAACAAATTTATTTAATTCGCATACATAAATAGTAGAAAAATGTAAAATATTAGTGATTATTACGAATTTTATCGCAATGGGGGCTAATTGGTTCATCGACATTTTTTAAATGCTCCATAATTGCACCTATACTAAGTAAGACTGAGTGAGAAAATATGTTTTTTTTTTTTTTATGTTTTACAAGTAAGAACAATATTTTGATCTTCGATAAACCTCAAATATAAAGTCACTTTCGATCGGCAACGGCTTGGCTGGAAGTATACCAATAACAAATATAATAAATTCTACTTATGCGTAGACGTCATTCCGTAGTGATAAATAATAAATAACCTCTCCTATTAAAATTAATTATTTTTATGTAAAACGGCCAATTCGTATAATTTTTTTTTTTTCTATGTATTCCTTCATTTAATTTTTTATGTTCAGTCACGTTTTACATTTTAACTGTAAATGGACAGATCACAATAACATTGAACGAGAAAAAAATGTGATTTAGCTTCGCGATGTTCATTCGTACCTATATTAGACAACTCGTAAATAATAATTTTGAAATTCGATATACATTATATCTTGAACTTAATAAATACGATATAATACAATTTTGTTTGCAATTGTATGTGAACTAAAGGAATATACTATTCTTAAATGACGTACGACGATTAAAAACTTAAGTCGTATAGTTTAATAGAAATTTTAACGTGAAAGTTTGAGCACCTTTCGAGCACCCGAATTAAACGTGCCGAGCCAATTTCGAATATATTTTATATCTAATTTTAAACTTAAAAATATAATAGTACGAGCAGTGTAACGAGCAATGTTTCAAAACAAAGTATACATCACGTACACGCGACATATTCCTATAGTATACTCTGCAAGGACGGTTTTCAAAATAAACATGTTACCGTAACCATGGTTATCGTTGTTGTTGGCTTTCTGGCACTGACTGTATTAAGTCTATATATAGTAGACGCCCACCACAGATAAATAAATAAAAGAGTAGATAAGGTTTATAATATTAAAGAAAACAACTAATTTTCTATAGATACCTGTGGTATCCGCCGACCTTATATCCAGTGGCGTATTTTGAATTTTACCAAAGAAGGAAATATTTAATTCGGAAAACATGTCACATTATAGTGTTTATGTAATGTAAATGTATATATTAATAATAATTAATTAAAATTAGTTTATTTGCTATTTAGGAAGTGACTTAACTTCATTTACATTATAATGGTTTTGATAGGTTTCGTTTTAATCAAGAAAACGTATACGTTTGATAGAACACATGTATGATTTTTCTGACTAAAAAAAAAATAAAAACTTGAATATAAAAAATAAATTTGTGTACAATTTATAATATATACTTAAAAAGATACTGGGAAAAAGACGTATCTTTCTGCAGATTTTCCACCTTAAATACGCCACTTCTTTTATCGTATATAACTAATAAATTTTAAAGATAAATTTACGGGGGGGAGGGGGAGTAATATACTGTGTTATATATTATTTTCGACAGGGGGTTGTTAATGTTTTCAAAAAGTCGAAACACAACTCGGCCCCCACCGGTAATACTTAGAGTAGCCCGTAGCGCTGTGGGGTCGGTGGACGGTACAAAAAGCAAAACCCGAGGCGTGTCGACGGGTCAACGTCGCCGTCGTCGTCGTCGTCACCCGTACAACACTCGGAGGCGCCTTTTATTTTAGCGCGAAAGTCTCTCGGGGAGGAATCGATCGACGCTTCGGGCGCGTGCGGCGCCAGTCGTACGCCCGCAGTTTGTTTCCATACGACCGCGGGCCGATTCCACGGCGACCACGACGAAAATAGCGCCTTTACCGAGATGACGGAACGAACGTTCGCCGACGACGAAGATTGGAGAGCGTTCGACATTATTTGCGGCCGAAAAGTATATAGAAATATTATAACATACACATCTATTATACAATAGTAATACGTTATCGTGGTTTCTTTCCTCACCTTCCATCCCTTCCTGGTACGGCTACGACACTCGGCAGTGTGTCGTCGTCGTCGTCGTCGTCGCACGGAACGAAACGTAGAAAATAGAACGTACATATTAGCCGAATTTGTTTTTTTCACGACATCGCGTTCGTTTTATACCGTAGAAAAAAAAAAACAGTAAATTTTCGTACCGATCCATCCGATTAAAATAATATTATTTTTATTAGGTACGCCACCCCCGAGGAATGAAACATATCGACGTGTGTGTACCCGTCATATGTCAGGATGATTAATTTTTTTTTTTTAGATTTTAATTCGTTTCCCCCCTCGTCATCGTGTCTTAACCTTCAGCGGCTATGAGACGTTTTTCGCCAAAACACATAAAGACGACTAATACGAACCTCCGGGGTACCAGGTTACCGGGTAGCGCTGACTATATTATACAATAACAACACCAATAATAATAATGATAAGGAATATTACTATGGTCTACGAGTAGTATTATTGCCGATTCGGGTATAAATAAATGTGATGATAATAATAATATAATAGTATTGATGTTGGCCCCCTACACTTCTAAAGAGACAAGGCGAGCAGTAGCTGCGGTTAGGCAGTATCATACTACGTACACGTTTAAAAGATACGATTGTTATATTTTTTTTAGTTTATGCAATGTATCTTGTATCAAAATGCTTTTTATAACGGTATAAAACGTCTTTTCGAGCTAGAAGATAATTCAATATTTTTAAGCAAAATTAAAATAATGAAAAATTCAAAAATGTCGTTGGAATAAAAATATAAATAACCCTTAAAAAACATCTAAATAAATGTTATTTATATTGGTTAATGATTTTTAATACAGGACGTTTACTTTTATTAATTATTGCATTCATTAATTATTATTACACTTCATTTGGTAGTTAAAAATTGTAATTTTCTTTGACAAAATATCAATCAAAAGGATGTTGAAAGTTTTATTTTTACTTGATTGCATAAATATTTTATATTTTCTGAGCGAAGCGAGTAGTGTACTGGCTTCACTAGGATATGTTCTTTTTAATGTCTGAACTTTTCTACCTAAAATGTTGGATCTTGTTGGTGCGTTTTGAATGTTAATTTTTTATTTTCCAGATGGTTTTTTAAATAACCAGGAAAGATTACAAAAAATATATAGAAAAAACTGACAAATATACCATTTGAATACTGTGTTATTTAAATTTTGTACGAATTATGTTTTCTACCTAAATCTTACTCCAACCGAAAAACGATGAAAAATTTTTGTTGCATCTAGTCGGTGAAAAATAAAAACATTTTCTGATTTTGCGTGTAATTTTCTTAATAATAGTGCACATTTACAGAAATAATGATTGAATTATTTTACATTTTTTTTTGTTGTTAATCAAATAAACAAATTTGTAGAAACTTTAAATTTTGACAAAAAACTTATTCTGAGCTTTTCTATACATCAGATTTTTAAAACATTCTAAAAATATTTTTAAATTATTTATAGGCGTTTTAATTTTCTAGTTTATAACGTAGTTATTATTCGGTAAGTACCATACCAGTCGTTCCCAACTTATTAGATTCTGATTCTACGCGTTCTTTGTAAATTTTAACAAATTTCACACCCTCCATAAATTGAAAAAAAAATGAGTCTTTTTGGTTTACTTTACAAATAAACTATATTTAATATTCGTTATGGCTATTTTTTATTGATATTAATAATTGCAAAATTGCTTGTGTCTTTCCAGTAATATGTTTACTTCCCCCTCGTATGAGAAACAATATGTACTATGGATTTGAAAGTGTTAGGCCAAAAAAAAATTGCATTTTAAGATCAAATGTTGGTGTAAATATTATGGCATTTCAAACCATGTATTACTGAATTTTACTCAGAATCGTACTTCGTTATCAATGGTTTATCGTTCCTTTCAAATGTAAATTATATTCTACCATTACAACTTCCCACCTAAAACCATCACTATTCAACCCATCAGCATTAACAACTTTTTTATCCTTGTATTCTCTAATTGAAAAAAAACGTTTTGTTAGTTTGTTAATGATTTCATGAGTTACCTTGGCAAAGCAATGGAAAACCTCGATTAATACTACTCCATTCAGAATCGTTTTACTGTGTATATCCTAACTTCTCAACTATATGCCTACAACAGTGATCTATAAGAAGTATTACTTTTTTTGTTTTTTTTATGGATATAGTGCATTTTTAATTTGAACCTTCCTGTGTTAACATGAATAAAATATCCAATATGCATTTTTCGTTTCATATGAATAATATGTTGTATCTGTCGCAAACTTGCATGTGGACATACTATAAAACAGTTTTAGCTAAAAGCATTAAGATCAAAGACGAATACGCATGGTAGGGTATGAAGTGGAAAGTCAATTTATTAATAAGAATCTACGTAGTAATTTCTGTTAAATTCAATACCTATTATAGTTAATATATTACTTTATTCTCTAGTGAATCAATCGTGTATACTGCTCTTTAATCCCTTTGCGTATTGGTCGATAGAACATTTTGAAACCGATATTGAAGGAGTTTACATTAGTTTTTACGGATTTCCACGCTAATAGAAAATACTCGGAGTATAACTATCATTTAATAGGAATTTTATGACAATTTGGCGTTTATTGCTTGTCTCTTTGCCATAGTGTGCAGAATACTCGTTCCCATATTAAAATATCGAAATATTCCCGGGTACCTGTACAAACGGCGGCACGATTCGTGACTCCGGTGGCGCGCGTTTCTCGGGCATCAAAATAAAAACAAGCGAGTTATTTAACCTACTTAGGTATATAAAGGGCTGCGGTTCCGAAATATTATCGTACCTATACGCAGCGCGATGACGTGTGACACGCGAATCGATAAATTCCGTTCGGTCTCGGCAACACACGCACTATAATAATATATTCCAACTACAAAAGAATACGCACTCGGTGGCAGTTTAAAATATGTTTTATAGTTTTTTCTTTTTTTATTACAATAGTGTTCGGCCGGCCGACCAGCCGAGTCGTTATATTATTTTGTGTGTTGTATACTTACGTGTTTGGTACGCGGAGCCGTCGCATGGCTCTGAGAAAACAGAAAAACCGACCGCGTTCAACCAGATCCGATATTATTTAAAAACAAACGTTTTCAAAAAAATACAGGTGGGTAATGGTGAGCCAAAAAATAAGGTCACCACTGGAAAATTATAACGTGCGTGACTCCAGTTAATCCGTATTATATAGATGGAGTTTTAAAAAATATATTCGTACCGTGGTACCGTCGAAAAACGTTTCGCTTTCCTTCTCCCTTTCACCCCTTCACTATTATTCGCATCGCGTCCTCGCAAAGTCCAATTGTTTCTTTGTCGTCGTTGTTTAAATTCGTTATTCGCGGGTTTCCGCAGGCGACGATGGACGTTGAAGACGGAGTCACTACGATGAGCAACCACGAAATGATATCCACGTTGAAAAGCGAATTGGCCGCTTTGCAATTCAAACGGGATCGTCTCATATCCGAGGTATTGGTTATTAATTGTAAAAGCCATGAAAAATAAATTGGCATATGTTACGAGTAAAATATTAGGTATTGCTTTCACAGTCTTCTCGATATTCGCGATTTTTACTTGCACATATTAAATTTTCTAAGCGCAAGCGTCTACACGCACATTATCACGTGGTAATTAAATTTTATAGTTGCAAGACACCAAAGGACAGTTACGATCTAGAGACCAACGAACGGTTGAACTCGAAGCCGAAACGGAAATGTTAAAAGAACAACAGGTCCGACAAAATTCGATCATTGCCAGTCTCAGAAATAGAATAAAGGTAAGTGCCATTTTAAACATTATAAACAATTTAATATCCATTTGGAAAATTGTATCGTTAATCGTTATTGTTAAATCAGTCGATATAATTATAGATTCTGATTGGAGCGAGGAATATATCAGTTTTACAATGATGTTTGTTTATTTTTTATTTTTTCTGTAGACAATTTTTCTACCAGCAATTTTGCTCTAATTTTTAAGTGTAGCACTTTTTCTAAAAGGAAATCTGACCGGGGTGGTACTTTAAAGAAAGCCATTTTTTGATTTCCTCTACTATTTTCATAATACATAGAAAAACTGGGAAAATATGGGGAATACCGATAAAAAAACGTAGAAAAAATCGGAAAATTAAGGAAATATATTATTTTAAATCGTAAATATTTCACTCTTTCAAACTATGTATAACCGAACTCCGCTCAGAATCTTTTTTCGTTAGCAAAGATTAATCGATAATGATATACATTGTATTCCTTTCTTTATCCTACCTTCCTAACTTCTCATCTTAAATAGTGGCCCACCGACTAGTATCTGATCTTTTTTATAATAAAAATTGACTAATACGAAAAATCTACTGTGTCAATCATTAACAGAATTTTTCGAAAATACCAATGCTTTTATCGATTGTTTGATTATTTATTTAATTTACATTGTCGCAAATACATATAATTTTTTTGAGATTATCTTAAAATATTGTGGTAGTTTGTCATTTTGATTATCATTCTAATTATACCGTTTGTCTAGTGTCGATAATCTTTAAATCCTCTTGAAATTCCTCTATTGTCTAATAGTTGATTATTATAGAGAACCCATATTTTGAGTTTAAGAAAAGATCTATCCATTCGTATTTAATTCCATCATTTGGGATTTAAAAAGTATTTTCCACAGCCTGCGGCTCGTATTTTTTATTTTATTCTGGCGGTAGACATTCTGTTGTTTATTTCCTGTTGTTGGAAATGTCAAAATATTTAATACCATATTTATGGCCGTTCATTGAACTACAGTTTTATTCATATTAGTTCCTCCTAAAGTTGTTAGGAATTTAACTTCTTTTATTTACTTATTTACTCTTTTTTTTTAACTTTTATTTACTACCGATTTTCATGAAATAGGAATTGGAAGATCAAGAGAGATCATTGACTACTTCGTTGGGACGAGCAGACATGTCGTCTGAATCACTGGCTAGAGAAAATCGTCATCAGGCAGAGAAATGCGCTGAGCTGGAACGCCGAATCGATCTATTGGAATTGAACTGCACCAAAGCCGAAAATGCAAGAGACTCGGCTAAGAGATCGATGGCCGAGTTTGTGAGTAGAACTTCATTAGCGCTGGGTTACGAATCTTTGAATTCTGACTCCCCTGCTGCCGTCGATGTAGTCTTATCTAAAGCATCGGAAATGAATCAGGTGAATATTTATGATAATTTATTATATCAGTATTATCAATGTATATATTTATTATATTCAAATATTAACCAGAAATAATTCGACAAATATTCGGTTTATCAGTTTAGAATATTTTTTTTCTCTTATATATTTTGTTTTCTTTTGAGTCGGTCTACAGCGTATGGATTATTATTGTTATAATTATTTACGATTGTCGTGGTCGTATAACATAGGAGTTGAACCGACTTCGTCGGAAAAACATATCTGCCAGCGAAAATTTATCATCGATAGAAATAGAATTGAGAAGCTGTCGGGAGCAATTGGAAAGGGCGTTGAGCGACAAAGAAAATCTTCAAAGACAAGCTGCCGGCCATATTGTCGAAATTGATAAGTTGAAACAAGTATGATAATACTACTCGTTTTAGTAAGCACAACTATCTAATTATCTAAGTAAATTATTATTATTATTTTGTAGTGAATTTGTCGATAACAACAGAATTAAAATTCTCAACGGTGTCTGTTTTAGGAAAAAGAACACTTGGAAATGCAACAGAGAGTGACAGAACGAGAGTTGTCCGATCTCAGAGACAAATTGACGGCAACCAACCGGAGTCTGGGCCTAGCGTCCAACAATATAGCCAGCCAGGAAGCCACTATATTCACTCTCCGAAGTAAACACTAAATAACGAAACTACAACCATTGTGGTACGGTTGTACTTGATTTTAATTATTACAAATCCTTTGCATGATGTTGCAATAGACGATTTGCGGGATCACGGTGAGAGGTGTCAAAAGATGCAGAATGACTCGCAACATTTTTTGGAGTCATTGGCCGTGTGCTTGACGTCGGCGGACGGGTACGTCCAGTCCACTGAGAACGGCGTTAAGGATGCGGTGAAGAGGCTCGTCAACGAGTTAGCGAATAAAAACACGGTATACTATTTAAACGGTGTTGTCGTGGTCGAAGAGAACCTGAGAAAATTGTTTTTTTCCGCTCCTATTGTTATGTTTAGCACCACGAGGAATCTAAGGATCGAATAATCTGTTTGACTGACCGGGTCGAGCGTTTGCAAATCGACCAGGAACGAATGGCGTCAGAAAATCGACTGTTGACTGACGAAAAACGCAACTTAGAGACACGGCTGAATCACGCTGAAACCGAACTTAACGTCTGTGAAATGACTAAAGAACATTTACGAAATGACAAAACGATCGTGAGTAGAAAATGTTCACTTTACAAGCATATTTTACCGTCGAAATCTTGACAATAATGAGATTTACTAATCAATTCATACAATATCTTGATAAATTGGTCAATATCTATGATGAACACATTTGATTTATGACTTCCACTAGATAAATCAAGTAACCATATAATTTGATGAATAGATTTAGTTTCTCTCTACTGTTCCATTTTCCAAAAAAATTAAAAAAAATACTAGACTAATTTCCTTTATTGCAAAAATAAAAAATACCTCATAATTCCTATTTCTCGTTATATCCTCCAATTGCTTGACCAGTTGCTTCTAACCATTCCTCGACCTTTTCGGCGTCTTCGTTTATTTCGTTGTATCCCCAATTCACGTTGTAGCTATTTAAATCACCAATTATGATCTTTGTACTTTCGTCTCTAAAATTATGTAGTTCTGTAGAAATAAACTTTGCCCCTGAAGCTTATATACTGATGTTATCGTGCATTTTCCCAAGTTGAGTGTTAGAATCTGTATATCACTAACGCAAATTATGACAGTGAATTATAATAGGGTGTTTTACAAAAACAGAATTTCCGTATTTCTTATGCAGCTATTTCTTTTTCGATGATGCGTATCGTGCATTATTCTAGTGATTTTTTATTTAAACAATTAGTTTGGTTTTGTTGTTTTATACTTTATGTTAAATACATTTCTAAATTTGTTTGATTAGTCTCCTAGTTCTATTAACATGTTTGATTTATTTTAGAACAATCCATTAGTTGTAATAATTTACTTACCTATGAAATGTGTATGGTACTTATGATAAAATAATCTAAAATCCAGATTCTTGTACATTGTCATTTTGGATTTTTTCCGCCACCATAATATAATAATACACATGGATCATCTAGGAGCTTTACAATCATGGAGTTTTTATAAACAAAAACATGCATATGTACTGAATTGACACTGGGACCTCTGGAACAATAATCATAATTTTGAACAAATCTCAAATTTTGACAATGCTGTATTTTGTACAAAATAAGTACGCACTACAGTAAAGCTCATAATATTTCTGATTTCGAATACTCAGTAGTTTATATATCAATATATTAAATTGAGAAAGTCTGGATGTTCGAATAATTTTGATAGGTTTGAAGGACTGAAAAAAATTAAGTGCATAAAATGCTAATATAAGTAATAACCGCATTGTTCAAATTTGAGATTTGTTAAAACTTATCGAATGCTGGGTTAATGTCATCCCATCACCAGTAAATTGAAGACGACTTTTGAGGGTATTTAAAGATAGTACAAAAATAAAGTGCACAATATAATGTATAGTTGATACATCTGATTTCGATAGTTGAAGGGTCTGGGTAATTCAACCGGTGTATATTATTATTTCCAATAGTTTCCTAGTAATAGTCAATTACTAGGTATTATGTGCTTCCGCAGTTTGTAACGTTTCTCGACAAGCTGTCAAGAGCCATGCACATGGATCAAATAGCCAAGGACGTCGGCGTGGACTTACACACGGAATCGCTATTGCTGCGCGCCGAACAACTGGCTAAATTGGAATACGATAAAAACATTGACAAGGTATACTTTTATAATAATATATTTCAAAAACTCTCCGTTGATGTGATCGTCACATTTGACATATTATGTTTTATTTTTCCACGGTGATTGTATACGGTTAGCTACTGCTCGGTTATCCTTACACGTCGTCGTCGTTATCCAGGCATCGCGGTTTATATTGCGATTACCCTTACAGAGAAGTATTTATCGAAGCGTCGTTTTACTCGATAACATTATATTTTGTATATTGATTTCAGTGGCGCCCAAACTACGGTTAAGCGTTGCAATAGCTCCACATACCATATGTGGTGGTGGGCCGAAGGGAGTATAGAGTTGTATTAGAAATATTAAATTAGGTATACATTAGATGCTATAATACTTCCAATTTGATATTTTAAGAGAGAGTTTATTTTGTAATATTTATTTTTAGTGTTTGTATTTATTTATTATACGTATGGATGAACTATTGAATATAAGGTGTGATGTGTGGTTAGAAGAGTTTGTTAAGTTAATATTTGACGCGAGACAAATATAGTTTGGGTACCACTGACTGATTGTTATTAATTTGACTTCGTATTTTTCTCATCATTATTCTTAACTTGTTGAACACATGTTTTTGTTTAATTTACATGTACTTAAGTGTATCGTAGTCTTGGCGTTTATATATTGTTGTTTTTGTGTATTAAAATGTTGGTTTGGTGGTGAACCAATAACGCTTTGAGACGTATCTACATTTTATTATTCGTAGCAGTTTTATCAGTTTAATTGGTAATCTCGTTATACAATATTATAACTTGGGTAAGCAATCTACCATTTTTCGTCTAATATTTTGCGTGTTATACAAATATTATTCTTTTATTCTTCACAGTAAAATTATATTAAAATTATATTATATGCGGTGTGATGATTTGTTCAGGTAACATTAAATATTTTAGGCGGATGAACATGGATTTAGGTTTTATCGGAAGGTGGTTGGAAGTACATTGAGATAAACATTTTACGCGTTTTAATTTGTAACCATCATGGGTTTTGCTCATGCACAACTCTTTATACAACCAATACTTACGCCTCTTATCATTTTTTCTATAGAATCTCGTAAAATTTACTCTTTCATTGTTATATTCATTTTTCATTGGTTTAGATATTTTTTGTAAAACAAGATATAAATTTATAAAATTTAAATAACAATTTTACGTCATATTATAATTTTATAGCGATATGCCGAAATTTGTATAGAAAATATAGGTGTTACTCGACAAATGACATTAAATTTCTTACAAATAATTATTTTTTTTTGTTTTATGCAAGTTAAAAAAAAAAAAAAAGTTCTATTAAAATCTGTTGAATAAATATATTTTTTAAAAAAATAAGCTTTGTTGCACATTAGCTGATCGAAAAGATTAACAGTTTTAACAGTTTGGGATTTTTTTAGAACCATCTATAATTAGAATTTAAATAAAAAGTCATCCAGCAGAAATATTTAGTGTTAACTGAAAAAAATTAACATACCGTATAGGTATATAGGTAAATAACCGCAGGAAGATCAATTGATGTATTTATTTATTTTATTTATTGTTTATAATAATACTAATAAAAATTAATTTGTAGTATGTTATACGTAAACGCATCCTTATCATTAATTTTTAAAAAATGTTGTAAAATTATTGCATAATGCTTTGTAAACCTAATTATTATTTGACATTTGATGATGCGCGTGTATGAAGTTGAAATGTTTCGTCGTTTAATTTGTTTTCATTACTATTGTTATTGTATTATAGAGCGCTCTAGTGTATCAACTCCAAAGACGTGTGCGCACGCTCAGGGACCAACTGCAGAGGCGCGATCTCCATTTGGATTTATTGCGTCGCAAAATCAGCGTCCAAGACGAAAGCACGAAAATGCGTTCGCTGTTGGAGACCGAAAGAGACGAGGCTAACTTACGGTACACGCCGACTTTGTAGTAAACGTAATATTTATTTTTTTCCAATTTAACAGTCTTTAAAGGACCCGATCTATTGAAAGCAATCTTTTCCGTCTATATTTCTCATTAGATGCCAATTAAACGTATGTACGTATATACATTCACCGTCCTTAATTAGAAAATAATTCTTCTCTACAACACTTGTCCACTTTCATAATAAGAAGTACGTCCGGTTTTTTAATAGGTCATTTTTGGATTTTCATACACGGTCAAACGAGTTCATTATCTTGGTTCTTTATATAATATATTAATTTATTTGCTTTTTTATACAGATTGTATAGATTGTGATATTTTGTTCTGTGATTGAACGTGTTCCCACTAAATTCTCATGAAACTGTTTTCTGATATATGTCATTTTTACTTTTTACGCTATATATCTACTTAAAATTTCCCGATTTTTTTTTAACACATGCAATTCTTTATTTGTGGATTATACTAATCACCTCTCCTACATTAATTTTTCCTTAGTCTCACATTTTCACTAACTATCAAAAAATTATAAATTTTCTAGGTAATGTCTTGTCTATTATTTCATAAAATGACAATGTCATCATTTTGTAACGTTTGTCTATTATACAGGGCCAAGAAATTGCAAAAGCAATTGGATAAGGCACAGCTACAGTTGACCGAATGTAGGACACAAATTCGGGACTTGAAACTCCAACTCTCCGATGCCGGAGACTGTAAAGTTAGTTACAGCTGTTTCTTTTGTTTAACTACGTTTTGTTGAAAATAAAAACGCGTGTTGATGTACAGTTGACTTCGTTGGAAAGAGCGAAAAAAATCGATGATCTTGAGAAACGCCTCGTCGAATCGGAAATGTTACGGATGCGTTTTGCGAGAAAAGTTACCGTACTCAAAGAACAAGTAAAAAAAAAAAAAAAAATATAACTTCCGTCAAATATTTGTCGAGTTGTTTTAATCAACATCATGAGAGAATTTAGTTTATACAGTCTATATAATTGGTTAAAGAATGGTATAAAAACCCCGGGAACCAATATGGGATGAGAGATACGATTCCGGGAACCAATTCGGTATAAGCAAGAAAAATAAATGTTTTTGTTAAAATGTTAAGTAGCGCGCTTGCTCTACGACAAAAGTGAATCTTGTCAAGAACTAACGCTGCTTTAAATTGGTTTGTGGTATCAAATGGTATTCTTACTGTTTCCCGGGGAGTTTACATGAATAGCGAAATATTTTTAAGGGAATTTACAATATGCCTAGTAATGTTATTATGATTCAAATGTTTGACGTGTAGTGCGGTTATGTAGGTACATATAACTATTATAAAATTTCCGTTTTAATATACGCACAGCTGAAATCGACTTCGGATTGTCATAATCAAGATAAAACTCTAAACGAACATACCACGCGAGTGCTACAGGACGACATATCATCGCTAAAATTCCAGCTGAGCGAAGTGAAACGCCGAGAATGTACCGTAAGTCCTTCATACCCGATTTTCCAACTCACATACACTGGTTATCTTCATATCAGTCTCCATTGCGTCAAACCACCTCTAATTACCTTTGATGTTGTGGCCCACCTGTTTCATAGATATGTATTGCTATTTTTCTATTTAAAATTTTATTTTTTTTTTTTTTGTTCGTGGTTTTTTTCCATCCATCGTTGTAAAGCTCGAAGATCTCCGCCGGACGATGATCGGACTGTTGGCGCTAGACTCGTCTTGCACGGACTACGAGATCACGTCCAAAATCACAAAACTGGTGACGGCCCATCGTGAATTTTCAGTACTGTCCAGGAGATACGACGACCCGCTGCCGGCAGCGAACTTACGTCACTACGTACCACCCTCTGAATCTTCGGATCCGACAATCGACGATTTTGAAATCCTCAATAATCCATACAATAAACGGCCGTCGAGAAAGACGTGAACCTCACCTATCAGTCAAAGGCCTCCGAATAAATAAATCGAAAAAAACGTCTACCTTTGCGAGTCTGCAGTATGCGTGTGCGCGTCTCTCTCTCTTGCTCACTTTTCCCGTACTCTTAAAACAGGTGGTAAAATTAATATTAATTTATTATATTTATGTTAATTGAATATTATCCATAGGTAAATTTGTAATTTATACTTTATTTCATAAAATTTCGAAATTACTATTCGTAAGTTATAAAACTGCGAGAATTAATATCACTCAGCCGAAGAAACATAATTAAATGTATTGTACCTAAATGATTTTTTTTGGAAACCAGCGTCAAAATGTTTTTACTCTTTATACGTGCCCGACTGTGAAAACGTTAAATTGTATTATTTTTGAATCCGTACATTATTTATCTATTTTCGTACTTGTTCGATATTTTATCGTAAATAATTTATTCAGTGCACCTGCCTACAAAACTGTATACATTTTTAAATTAAAGAAATTATTAAAAATTCAAACACATTATTTTCGATTTTTACCCATCAAAATTTCACAAAAAACTCACATTTTTCAATAATATCATCAGAATTGTATTCATGTATTATTATTTTTCCAACTATACGTTTCTTCCGACATAAATAATAATTATGTATCTAATGTTTAGTTTTCGATAGTAAATTATACATACTCGGCTTATAATTGTTACCGCTCACTTACCTCCGTATAAGAACAACGATCGTTGTTAAAATCTTGAAAAATAATTTTTGTTATTTACGGGCAAAGGTGGATTGTTATAGTGTTAGGTGTGTAGTGCGTTATGTGTTCGAATGTCGTATAGATGATCGTCAAGTGTACGCAGCGGCGGATTTATAAGGTGGAGAGTAGACAGCGATATAATTACAATAAATTCGTTTAAAATCAGGCATCTATTAAAAATAACATCTATACCTTAGAAGTACATATGATATTTTATGACCTCTCCCCCCCAATCCCTGGAAAAATATTGAAATTTACTACCGGTTGTACGAACATTTTCGGTAATATTAAGTATATTTGAATAAATTAATAGATAAATATTGTGCTATTTTTCGAAAAAATGCAATAATATTGCATGTATTATGAAAACACATCAAAATACAATTTTGTATTAAATGGTTCGTGGTTTCATGGCAACAGATAAAATAAAATACAAATTTCGGGTGAAAATAATATCAATATGTACGTAAAATCAATAAAAAAAAAAATTACTGTATATGCTACTTTGAATAATTGGTGAATGTTGACATTTACATCATGATTTTGATTAAAGTTGACATATGTATTTGCAAATATATTATAGACTAAGGCAATATATAAAATAGAACATGTTTAATTTAATCTATAAACTATTATTATAATACAATACTATATTTCTATTGTCAATTTATGTACCGATTATTTAATCTCATAAAAATTGTTATCTAAAAAAAATATGGGGACAATGATTTTGTAAACAAAATACAAATTATTCACTATTACGTCTATAGAAATCAGTTCTACTAATTGAAACATGGGAAACTGTTATGGCATTTTGACAATTACATAATATGCTAACATTTCTTTAATTACACACTTTGTTGTGTGCATTTTGGTTTGCAATCGCATAACGTACACCTTTGTCCACCAGTCGTAAAATTTGATGCAGACGATTGTCTTAACGAAATTTAGAGATCCCCTAATACATCNTTTTGTAAACAAAATACAAATTATTCACTATTACGTCTATAGAAATCAGTTCTACTAATTGAAACATGGGAAACTGTTATGGCATTTTGGCAATTACATAATATGCTAACATTTCTTTAACTACACTTTGTTGTGTGCATTTTGGTTTGCAATCGCATAACGCATACCCTTGTCCACCAGTCGTAAAATTTGATGCAGACGATTGTCTTAACGAAATTTAGAGATCCCCTAATACATCAGCGATTAATATTGAATTTTCGTTACACACTGAGAGCTGATGTCTGGTGTATGATTGATTAATAACACCATTTTTGGTGATTTATTAGCTTATTTATAAAAATCACAATCCACTATACCACAAAACTACAGCTAAAATATTTCGGGGACACAAAATGTTATATATATTTTATTTTACCGAAATTGTCAATTTACACGGTAACTAATATTATATAAACACTTGGTAATATTATTTTAATAATACTATATTATTGTTATGATTCTCTATATCCCGAGATTCCATTTAAAAAAAAAAAACAATATCGGTATTACCGACAACCGTCAATACGGCCATGTTAATATTAACATTCACTTGTGAATGTTCTCAAACAGTGCACATTTAATACGTCAATATGTCAACATTCACCAATGGCTACCGAAGCCATTACCTACACCATGTACGGCGACATTCACCAGTGATTGTCGTCGTTCATAATTTACCGACTGCGGACATTAACGGTAACATTTATTGTTATTTGGGTTTTATACGATCGAGTAATTTGTTTCAATTACGAAAAATCGATTCACATCATTATCGTGATCGATCATACTATTCTATCCTACCCATCTATCTCTCGAACAGACGATCTTTCAAACGGATTGAATTCCAACTCGTGGTGATTTTCGAACACATGACCCGTTTCCATGGTATTATTTTGAATGGCCGGCCCTTTTGTATTATACATAACCGTGTACCCTGAAATATTATATTATGCGTGATTTTGATTTAGTTATTTCTAAGTAGATCGCATTGACACCGCATTAAATCGAATACCAGCAGATTTAATACTGTATATATTATAATAAAATATACGGCTTACGTATATCAAGAGCTATTTTGTATTGTGTGCGTCAAAGTCGAACGTTATTTGTTTTAGTTTTATTAAACGCTCGTTAATCTATGATATAACGACGCGTATTGTTGAAAATGATGTGTTCATTTATTTTTATAGTCTATTATACAAATAAGAATAAATACAGTTTATGAACGTAGACATTTTTTTTTTTTTTTTAACGTGTAATCAATATTATTTTTTGAACAATTAAAAGATGTTTTATTAAAATCTTGGTAAATTGTATTGATTTTATCCATTCTTCAATAAATGAATATGAAAAAAGACGGACATACTGCGCACGTGGGTGGGCCGCTATTCTAGGTGAGATGTCATATTATGGTAAAATAATTGAAAATTATGCATTGTGCATTAATATATTCTTTAATAATATTTGTTTAATATTGTACATATTTAATTATTATTCCTACGTTTTTTCCCATTTGTAATGAAAACATCAGGGAAAATCGAAAAATTGCTACCCTAAAAGTACCACCCTGGTCAGATTTCCTTCCAGAAAAAATGTTATAATAGAAAATCGAAGCATAATTAGTGGTAGAAAAGTAGTTCAAAGGAAAAAAATGCCATACTTAATATTTTTTTACTAATATTAGTACGAAATAATATTAGAAATATAGGTATATGCCTTCATTTCGTGTATTTTCCCGTTTTTCTTCCGTTTTTTCGTATTTATTGAAATATTTAAAATTATATGGGTAAGACTATAATATTATATATTCTGTATATTAGTTGTAAATTTCATGTTTATTTTTTGTTATTAACATAATATATTCATGTTCGTGATTTTTCAATTTTAACAATGCTGTTGTTAGAATAATATTTTAGTCTGGTCTACATGGTTTTGAATAAATCAAAATTACTGCCCATCTTTTTTTACTTGTTCTTTGTGCATTGAATTATTTAAATTAAAACAATTACAACATATATATTGCAACCATAATGTATATTAGGTCAATGTTTATTTGATGTAGAAGTATCAAGTGTGTAGTATTTTCGAGTTTTAATATTATATTAGAAAATACTCTTCAAGTTATTTGTTAAATAACACATCGATCATCTCTTTTTGTTCATGGACTAAATAAATTTTTGTTACGGCAACAAGAAACATTGGTCCTCCTCTCTTTATTAAAACACAGATTGTTTGTTTGCATGCGCTCACAACATATAGGTACATATTGAACCGGTAGTTTATTATAATTCATTAATATTCAAAGTTTACAAGATTAGAGCGTATTTTTCAAATTACTCTTCATTTGTGTTAATTCATTTTCTTCTTTGAGGCCATGAGATGTGAAGACATTAGTAATCAATTTTTATTATTCAAAATTTGCTCCTTCAATTAAAAATAACAAATAACATAATGATTTTTTTTTATAAAATGTTTCAAGTTAATTATAACTCTTAAATATATATACGTGAATAAGTGAGCAAATAAAACGTTAAACAAATTACAAATACATTTTGAAAGAATAATTTATAATAAACAAATTTGCGTGAAAACAAATCTACTTCTAACTAATACATTATGTTTTAAATACCTTAGGATTCACATTAACAAAATCAATAAGCGAAAAATCATGATACGTTAAACTGGATAATGATGGCTCCAGGACGACATTATATATTAGATGTAAACTATTTTGTTAGACAGTGTACATTTACAGAAAATTCAATGATCTTATATCTGTCTATGCTAACCTCACTAATATAATTGCATTATCGAAATTGTTAATAAACAATAAGTTAGATCAATCTTGATGCAAGTAAAAACTCTGTGAATTCTTCTAAAAGTTTTCATATTTAAATTTTAAATGCATACATTATTAGGTATATATTATGTATGCAAAGAAAATCGTTGTTTCTTTCGAATAAGATCTAATTTGTATTCTGCCAATATGAATACCAAATACCGAATAATAAAAAAAAAATCTGATACTGGATAGGGGTACGGATACTGTTGTAGGTAGGTAGAACACATAAAGTTATTTAATTTATACTTGTAACCAATGATAAACCGTTACTAACGTAAAACAATTCAGGGCGAAGTTAGGTTATAAATGTTTTTAAAGGCCGTAATATTTACGATTTTCATAAAAATTTTATTTTAACTTCTTAAAAAAAAAAGAAAACTATATTACACTCAATGTTTTTTATACTTTTTTTATTTATTTTTTTTTTCAACTTATAATGAATCCCCCTTCTGAATTGTATTAAAATTTTATGATAACAAAATAATTATTTCCGTAAATTTTAAGTTACTTTCGATGCATTTTTGGATTTCACTCATTTATTTTGTTTCTTTGTTAATCTAGTTGGTGACAAAGAAAATCATTTTTTTTATTTTCTTTGTAGTTTTTTTAATAATTGAACAATAACGAAAATACGTAGAAAGAACGGGAAAATTTACGAAAATAATCCTTTGATATTTTTATATATAGATTTAGATTCTGAGTGGAGCGAAGAAGCCTATAGTTTTACAAAGATGTTTATTTTTTTTTCAGATTTTTAAGTGTAGCACCTTTTCTGAAAATGAATGTGAGGAGGTACTATAAGGAGGTCATTTTTCGATTTTCTCAAGAGTTTTTTCGTCAAATGCGAAAAGCCGAAAAAAAAAAAATGAGATAAGAAATATATTACTAAAATATTACAATATTTTTTTCTGTAGACAAAATTTCTACCAGCAATTTCGCTTCAAAGTTTAATGATAACAATTTTTCTAAAAGGAAATTATACTTTTAAAGTAGTTTATGGAGGTAATATTTCGATTTTTCTAAGAGTTTTCCCAGAAAATATGAAAATTCAGGATAAACACATAAACATAAGAAAACTGGGCAAATCAGTAAAACATTAAACAAATATTATTAAATAAAATATAGAAAGCCTAATTAATTATTTTACTATAAAATGACATAAATTGTTGACATAACATCAGTATCAACTGAACTCCGCTCAGAATCGTTTTTTTCCTAAGAAATGGTTTATCATTGCTTAACCCGTTCTCATTATACTAGGACGTCATTTTTAATTTAATTAATTTAAAAATATTCGTAGAGACTTGAAATTTTGAAAGAAAAACTTATGTTTACTAGACGTTTTCTAAACATGATAAAATGTACAAAACATTTAAACTATTATTAAGCTATTTATAAACATTTTAATTTTGCGAGTTTTTTACGTAATTCTTTTTTGGTAGGCACTCTGTTCATAAAATTGTTAGACTAAACAGAAATGCTAGAAAATTTAGTTTATTATTAAAGTAACGATTTCTATAAAAAAATTAACTTTAAAAGTTTAATCGATTTTAAAAGAAACTATTACATTGCTCTGGACTTTTTTTTATCACTTAGTTGAATATTTCAATATTTTTCCTATATTACGTGAAGCATAATAGTTTTATAAGATCTTTTTTGTCCATTTATTAAACATATTATCTATATTAAGTGACAAAAGTATTTCTTAGCTCAATATTTGTATCGACCGGTATACAAGGTTAAAATATTCACTGGTGAAGAATTCGAAACATTTCGGTTAGTATAGTAACCGAAAAAGAATTTCCCGTGAGAAAAAATTATTATTAAAACATCGCTTCCCTCAGAATAAAAAAAAAATAACTTCAAATTAACAATTCAACAATCGGAATAAAACGCTAATTTTTATTTGACTTTCTCCGAACGGCTGATGCGAATACGATAGGTAACCTTACATTTTCTTTCTTAATCGTATTATAATTATAAATTCACGTTTTATGGGGTAACTGCAGCATAAGTAGAACACATTTTAATTATTTGTGTTAAATACATTCACACAAAGAATATTAAGAATATAACTACAACATACCTATACATAAGTCGCATTAAACACAAAATTAAAGATTTTACGTTTAAACTTTACTCTGTAGTAATTAGCATAGATAAAGTAAATTTCGGTTTACTACCCTGATAATGGGTAAACACTACAACGGTTTTTGGTATGTTTTATATTAACGATTGAATACACCACAAACACAAAACGATCATACATTTAAATTAAAACTAATAACATTCAAATTGCAAAAAGCGTGTTATTTAGAATAGAATTGATTGGTTAATATTGCTGAAATTCAGTGATCCGTGATGTTAAATTGTCAATATAACTTGACAAATTATTGATTTAGTTTAAATTAACATTTTTAGATATGATTTTTTAAATGAAAGTAGCCATGTGTTCAAAAATGTTGAGTTAAAATGCTGTAGGTTGATCAAGGAATTTACGCTTTCCCATTATATCTTATAGATTCTGAACGAAGCGGTGTGTACTTTTTTATGTATATTTTTTTGTTATTCTAAAAACAACGTTCAGAAAAGAAATCTTATTCCAATGTATAGAACTATAGAGTATAGAAATTTTTCTGAAGGAAACGTTATCTAGTTGGTGCGTTAAAGAGGCGATATTTTGATTTTCCAAAGGGATTTTGATAATAAATGTGAAAACCCCCCAAAAAAATTAAAGGTAAAATGGAAATTATTTATGGAGCGCTATAGAGATTTGTTTACACGATGTTTTCTATCAAAAATATTTCTCCAATCGAAAAATGACAAAAAATGGACTTGGTAGCTAATAATATTTGGCCACTGACAAAGAAAGTTTCTTTTTGATATCCAAAGTATTTTTCATAATAATTTGGAAAAAAAAATAAAAATAAAAAAAAAAACTAAAAACGACAAATTACTTTTTTTGTTGTATTTCTAATCTAGTCAATGACAATGAAGTCATTTTTTTGATTTTCTTTGTAGTTTTTTTTTTTAATAATTTACCAAACCGAGAAATACGTATAAAGAACGGGAAACTTACGATAATAATTATTTTATTCTTTTAAATTTTGTTTCTCTTAACGTATGCTCAACAATAATTATATATATATATAAAACATTATCATATTAGAAGAAACAATCTAACGACCTTTCTTCGATCAGATACTGTTTGGTGTGCATTTTTTTTCCTTTATTTTACTAGTACAATAAAATATATTTTTATAAACGATGAAGCGCTTCGGGTTTATTATTATTGACATTTGTTTTTCTCTCTCAGCACACGCGGAACGTTTACGACGACGACAATATTCAAATCTTGGGCCAATACTTACCTTATAAACCACGCTATTAA